GTGCATTTACTTTCAATGAAAGCCATTCGTATTAGTAATAGAGATCAATAGCGAACAAAAAGCATCTGTATCGCACCTCTCAGCTGGTCTACGATTCGGCAGAAAAATATGGCCGATAGCAAACTTCGGGAAATGAACGAAATTTTATGGCATCCCCAAAACCGGTACAAAAATTCCGTTAGTTTGTTGTTGGAAATAGCAGCTCAAGTTGGAGAATCAGTCTTCTTTCATCCAGTTGACGAACTGCTGGGACTTTCAAGCATGAAGTTGTTTACGTGTGAGGTGAAAGTCGGAAGCTTGTTTAAATGCAAAGGAACTGGAAACAACAAAAAGACGGCGAAGGCGACCGCTGCACAACAGGCTTTGGAATTTATTAAGAATAAAGCTGGTGTAGATAGAAACTTGCTTGGATCCCCACAGGTAAGTCAATCCAGATATGATAGTAGCGGCCATATATTGAATATATTGCTGATGTTGGACTCTATCACAGACACATGTTGCAGGTAGTTTCTTATTTGAGTTAATTTTTGTTTTTCCTTTGTTTCAAATTCATTAGCACACATTACCATCCCCAAAAACAAAAGAAAAACAAAAACTAACTGCAACATATACAAATATTTAACAATTATTCGCCGAAGGTGAAGTTAATATTGTTGAATAATGAGGGGATTATTCAACATTGTTATATTCCTAGAATTTCACTCAACTAAACAGGGACTGCCATTGGTTGATTCTTAGTCACGTGGCCTTGACTAAAATCAAATGTATCCTGATCGTGATACATTAAACAATGTATCCCGCTCGGGATACATTGCAGCACGTGATCAAAGCATGGTGGAAAGTGGCGTGACAGAAGGCGGGAAAAACACCGCCAGGTCCTGCCGGTTTTCTTTTTCGTGAATGAACACAACAACACAATCACGAAGCCTCAAGCTAAAAAGCAACCATTTTTAAAGTTATCCCAGAAGTTCCCAGTCGAAGAAAGACAGCAGCTAGTGGAGGAAAAAGATGCAGATGATATAAGGAAAGTACTTTTGTTTGTAAATCATTCATTCAGTGGTTTTGAGAATTAAATTTGTGTTGTTATAAGTACCGAGTCGACTGTTTTGGTTCGTTTTGGTTCGCTCCAGTTATTCTTTTGTTGCTGTTGAAGTGAAAGTTCTAGAAATATAACAAAACACTTAATGTCAGATCCCTAGGGAAACCAGTTAGTTTTGTTTTTCCTCGAGTCCTGATGTTTCCCTTGACTTCGTCTCGGGAAACATCAGGACTCTCGGGAAAACAAAACTAACTGTTTCCCTTGGGATCTGACATTAAGTGTATAATATTAACTGAGCCTGAGGTGAATAATTGTTTTAGTATATTCACACAAAGTGATTTCACCAGAATCAGAAAGGAAACCATTAAAAAACGATTAGTTTGATTGACGGGTGAATTCCTGCATGAACACGAAGTCGTAAACAGTGGATGCACAAAAGTTAGATCTTTACAGTATCTTCAAACATGGCAAATGATAGTTTTAATCTTTTTGTATCGAGTTTTGTAAGCTTTAGCATCAACTGTTTAAAAGAAAACGCCAAAAATTTAAATTACTACCCAATTCTGAGAACAAAAGGAGAGCTTTATTTGTTTCTGTCAACTCACCGTGAATGAGAAAGTTTTCTTTGTTGCTTCTTGCAAACGCTGTCAACAGCAGCTGTGATCAAGGTGAGCGTTGTTTATCTCCAATGTTCTCTGCCTTGTTAACTTGCTGACAGGTACAATTTTCAAAAATGTTTGCCTTCCTCTTTTCCCCATAAATTAACTTCTAATTATAGGCAAAATTGGTCTTGCGAGAAAATCCTGAAATCACAAAACAGTGACCAAGCGACCTCTTTTTCCTCTGTAGTGGTAAACAAAGCTTCGAGCGCACAAAAGGTCGGCTACAGTAAACCACTTCACAATAAATCACGCTGTTTAAACACCATGAAGTCTTTTCTCGCCTTCACAGTCATCAGCACTTGGATATTCGTGTATTTTCAAAAAGGCTTTACTATGAAACTTTGGCAAAACACCCAGTTCACGACAGCGATTTTTTTCTGCTTTATATTCACCACCTAGCGTGGTGAATATAACGTCATAGTCTGAAATAGCTAACCAATCAGATTGCTTGAATTACCAAGATCACTGAGTGTCTGTATACTAATTATACATACACACTTGCCTAGTGATATGTCACCATCACAAAATCGCCAAATTCAGAGGCTCCTAGATCACAAACACAAAAGACCACAATAACTGTTCTTGTACTGCTCTTTTACTCCGCTTTGTTCAAGGCAACACTCATGCCAAAATCAATTTCGAGTGGGTGCTGAAAAAATAAGATGGAAACTGAGTAAGTCAAAGAGTTGAATAAGATTTTCACCTCCAAAAATTGAATAAGTCACGTTGTGTATTTCTTAGGTATACATTAGCCGGGATACTACAGCATTGATTAGAGTATTTTTGCAAGTTAACTGTCTTTCAGGTACTATACACTACCCAAGATACTACAACATTGATAAGAGTATTTTTGCAAGTTAACTGTAGATTTCAGGTATACACTACCCGGGATACTACAGCATCAATCAGAGCATTTTTGCAAGTTAACTGTAGATTTCAGGTATACACTACCCAGGATACTACAGGAATGATTAGAGCATTTTTGCAAGTTAACTGTAGATTTCAGGTATACACTACCCAGGATACTACAGGAATGATCAAAGCATTGTTACGGGTAAACCGTAGATTTCAGGTATACACTACCCAGGATACTACAGCATTGGTTAGAGTATTTTTGTAAGTTAAAGGAGTTTTCAGGCATACTGCAGGATTAATTAATGTATTTTTGCAAGTTAACTGTAGTTTTCAGGTATACACTACCCAGGATACTAAAGGTTAATACTATGCAACGCAGATAACAAAAGCTCAGGAAACAAGGGGACCCAGCATGACCCAGTGAGGTTATTTGTCTGCGAAATTTTTTTGAGAAAAGAGCTGACTCTCTCGAGTGTTCACCTAGAATAGAATGATCCAGAAAAATAATTTTTAACATCAAATGCTACTGATATAATTATTAAGTTTTCTTACCTGTCTGCCGTCTCTTTCTTTTTTTCTTGATTACTGATGTCACTGATCTTGGCGCCAAACAAACACGCGTGGTACATATTTCCCGCCAGAAATAATTAAAAGCACTTTCATGAGACGGTGATCAAAATACAAAAGCAAAATAGGAAAGGACCAAATGCCCGAGGCTAGCGATCGTTTGTTGGGCGGCATGTGATAGAGTAAAATTGATAAAATATCAAAAAATCCGGACAGAATCTTTTAGTAATACATTATCAAAAATTATGTGAAATACATTATCAGAGAACATGTGCGAAAAAAATAATTTCCACTCGATATTTTTTCTCGGTATTTTTCATCAACAAAAAACCGAAATATTAAAAATCACGACTTACCAGCAATTGCTCGGCTAAACAAAGCTAAACTTACCAAAGTCGATAAACACGTAGGGATTTCCTGCAGAAATAATTTCCCACTCTCGTTTAGCAGTTTAGTGGTCGAACTTGAGGTGGGTTAAAACGGATTCATTTTGCCAGCATCTTCCCGTTAAATTAAAGTAGATTTAACACTTGCCAGGAGTAATTAGTAATCTAGCCATTTTGCTCATAGCTTCGCAAAGGCAACCAGTGTTATAAAGCGACAGAAACTTTAGCGAAATATTCAGGACGCGACACACAACGACCTCAGTAAATCTAAGAAATGAAACAAGATACTGAGCGAAAAAAAAGGGTTCATTGATTGTTTCCAGCTGGCCGTGACAAGTAGTGTACAAGATTAGAAGACCCCCCGGTCAGAATTTTTTTGTAGCCTAAGCCCGTCATGCTCTACTGTATATTGCGAAGCCTTCTCAGTCTATGCATTTTTGTGATGTATCCAAGACAAACTTCCTCAGACCATGTGACCTGAAGTGCAGTGGCTGCACGCTAGGCAACAACATATATCACCTTCATTGTGTACAGGGCTATTAAAAACAGGGAAAGGAAAAAATGCAGAGCCCTAATCCATGGAGAGTATCTTAAATGGAGTACACCTATAAATCATTTTATTGGTAAAAAAAATACTTAATCAGCAAGGTAAATATTTGTTTTTATCAAAATACTCATTAAACAGCGGTAATATATTGATTTAGCCAGGACTAAAAGCGAAGCCTCTTTTATATACTCAAAGGTGTACGGGCAATTTTTTTGCCAAGGGCGGGGAGGTAGGGGCAGTAAACCATTTGCCAAAAAAATTCTCGCAAGTTGCATATATTTTTACAAAACAGTGAAAAAGAAAAGACAGCCAAACAATGTAAAAACATAGGCTGTACTGGCATGTTGAGGTGGCTCAATACAGTTTTTCAGGGTCAATACCTCCCAAGTTTGAGCATAAACTACATTGCCATAAACAAACATTTGGAAAAATTTCCGCCACAGTTGTATTAGATAAAAATGAAAATTTGTCATGATTGGAGTTATGCACCTTATCAATGTAAATCCCGTGGGGCGGGAGTGCGGGCAAGGGGCGGGGATTTGATGCCTGAGACTATCCCCCTGTCGGGCTTTTGATCGTGCGAAGCGATCCCAGGGTCGGGACATTTGACTTTGACCGACAGAAGCCTGGTATGAATTCAGAAGCAGTTACCAAGTCCGTCCCTAGTGGCTTTCTGAAAGTCACGCTGTTGGAGAAAGGTATGAAGTTTATACTTTAAACCGTCATCTAAACAGATAGTGTCTATTTTGAGAAAATTTTTATCTTCAAGTTTCCATCTGATTGTAAAACTCGATTGAAATTGAATTCCCCCATGAAAGTCAGAGGATTTTTTAAGGGTCACTGATCCGACCTGTTGAGCAGATGTTATAAAGCATTTTACGTTTCATCAATATTATAATAGCACGGTCGGTCTTCCTGGAGTGATTTTGTTGTTCAAAATAAGAGATGCTAGTGGAGAGAGAAAATACTTATTACAGCGAGTAATTTAACGGAGCTTACATTAACCTTAAATAAAAGTAGTAAGAACGTACTTTTGAAATATTCTTTTAATTCGTTTTATATAGTGTTATAATAGTATTGTTTGTTTACGTTTTTTTCCCCTGGGGTGGGGGCTTTTTTGACACTTTGGATTGACCTTTCGTTTCCCACCCCTTGCCCGCACTCCCCCCACGGGGTTTACATTGATAGGTGCATTACAAGGAGGGACATCAAAGTTGTCGTAGCAACGAGATGACGCCAAAACCTATTTTACTTAAAACAATATTTCTCGGCATTCGGAACTGTTCTTACAAAGTACAGGGGAACTTTTTCCTCCACCAATAGTCTCCTCGATGTTCATGAAGTTTAATCGGAATCTGGAAGAGCGTTATCGAGATATTTTGGGATGCAGTTTTTATCGTTAGAAATACGGTAAAATAAGGAAAATATTAATGTCCGGCTGTTATCTGTTGAAAAGGGAGGGCTTTTGAACATGAAATTGCACCTCATAGTAGTTTCAATCTTTTTCTTAATGTGTGTGAAAGATCATGGAGATAGCTCTAGCCAATTGCTAGGAAAGAACGATTTGATAAGTATGTATCGAGGTGCTCTTGTTAGCGGTTTTGTAATAATTTCAGTCTACTTTAACAAAATAGCGAATAATTTTTAAAACGCTCAATATATTTTTTGGAGAATGTAAGATTTTTCCCGGTAATTCAAACTGAGAATTGGTCAGCCAATTTGTCATTTTCAGACACATTGCTGAAAAATGATACCATCTGTCATACACTGTTCTACGAGCAGACTGATTCTAGAAAGTTTTGCAGAAGTTTATTTCAATCAATTCACCAGCTAGTGCAGAGTAGTGCAGTGCTCCACAATAAAAAAAACTACAAATACGTAAATAAACATATGACACCCTTCCCTAATTACTAGAAACTCACCACGTGCTAGGCAACTACTGTCTCGTGTGAATTTAACTGGATTATTACGCGGACTTCAGGTTAAAATATAATATATATCTACCTTATTCTCCTTAATTTTCGCGGGTTCTTAAATTCGCGATTTTCGTGATTTTAAAAAATTCGCGAACTTAAAGATCCGTGAAACATAACGACCGTGAACTTTGATCTCGCGAAATTTAATGGACATAGAAAAATCATGTATTTGTGTTTTCAAGGGTCCTAAACAATTTTTAACACAAGGTGTTAGTACAAGGAGCTATCATCTATCAACTTTAAAGGTTAATCAGTGTCAAGATTCGCCTCAAGTTCTTCTTCGGCATCTGAGTAATCATCTTCGCACAGTTCCTCCAATACATCCTTTGTACAGTCGTCAAATTGACCACCCTGTCCCGGCTCCTTGTAGTGTGTAGTTACGAGTTTCTTGTATCTTTCCATTATTGCCCTGTTCCTTGGTGTATCGTCCATTTCACATATCACCTCAACAGGGACAGCATATTGGTTTTGTTTCAATTGTTGATTAAAGTAAAATTTTTGTAAAAAAGAAAAAATAAAGTCACTTAATCGTCAATTTCGCAAAATTAAATTCCCTGCAAACACAATTTTTCTCCGCTATCGCGAATTAAAGACTCGCGAAATGTGCCGAGAAAGTTTTCGCGAAATTTAAGTCTCGCGAAAATAAAGGAGAATAAGGTATTCAAAAACCGGCTTTGCCAAAATTTTCTCCTGCAGCCCAAAAAATCTGAGTCGCCCAAAATTTGGGGGTGCTGCAGCCCCCCTCGCCCACGCGGCCCATATGCCTATGTAAATACTTAAAAGCACTTAACTCTGAACTAATAAACTCTAAGCCACTAAAAAGACATCTTCAAATCCCTAGCTTGGTTTACATGTAAGGGTGGGTGGGGCTAGGTAAATGAGAAAATGTACCCACAAACACACCTGAAATCTCTCCCATCTTGCTTGAAGTGTGTTTTTATGTTTACAGAAAAAATCATTATGCATCAAGTTCAGTCTAAGGAGTAGGCTACATCACCAAACCCCCCACCACATCCCTTTGTAAAGTTATAGGTCAGCTCTTAAATTAAAGTTTCCATAGTTCTTTTAATTCATGATGCACTTTTTTGTAGCAGCCAGTTCACAGGTTACAGTCTCTAGGGTCAATATTTCTGTGTAAAGGAAAGACCTAAAAGAAAAATTGGGCCAACGTTTTTGTTAGCTACAAGCTTAATTTACTATCTGGCCTGGATGAATAGATATGTGTTAATAAATCTTTTATATTTATACATCACAATATCTGATAAAAAAAATTGTACTATAAGGTGCTGCTTGTTTTCATTGTTTTCAAGTTGTGTATAAAGTCTATCGCACTTTTCTAGGAATGCACTGAACACATACCACACAGTTTGTATAAATTAGAGAATTATTTTTTAATTTATACAAACTGTGCAGTATGTGTTCAGTGCATTCATAGAAATGTACGATAGACTTCATACACGACTTTTTAAATACTCTCTTCAAAAAGGGGAATGTGGGCTTAAAAAGCTACGAGTCTGTCACACAAAACAAGAACTCCTTCATGTTTTACATACTTTTCTCTGCGAGGATACTCCCAAGAGAGAAAGTGTAAACAGACTTATCAAGCTTCATTAAAGTGGTTTTCAGGACCCAATCCTGATGGAGAAAATGTAGCACACTGCAAAAGTTTTGACTGGTAATTAATGAATTAAAACATGAATAACAATTCAATGGAACATGCACAACAATTAAAATTTAGTTTTATTCAAGAAAGGCAAGTAATGTGTCTGAACTGTTTCTAAAAATCCTTTTCACTTTTCAAAAGTGGTTTTGTTTATGTGTTTTTTCCGCTGGCTTTGTGTTATGGCGAATACTAGATAAACATACCTTAGAGAAAGACTTTCACTTAAATGCTTCTTCACAACTGAGATGGAAACCACAGGTAACCCAAGCTCAAAATATGAGCATCGGCAAGTGTCAGCATTGTTGTGTAACATTTGAAATATAGGGATTTGTATGGGGAAAAACCTATCGTTTCTGTTAACCTTCGAAAATGAAAGGATTTCAATAAAGAACAGCTTATAAATGTGTGTTACATCTCTCCTGTGTGGTCCATGGGCCGATTTATGGGTTATACTGTAAACGGTTTTCCCTCTATACATAAGGTAGCCTTACAGTGTATATAGAGAGAAAACCGTTTACAGTATAATCCATAAAACGGTCATAAATCGGCCCATGGACTACACAGGAGAGATGTAAGATGCATTTTATGTAAGGTAAGCTGTTTTTTATTGAAATCCTTTCATTTTCGCAGGTTACAGAAACAATAGATTTTTTCCCCATACAAATCTTCATATTTCGAATGTTACGCAACAATGCCGATGCTCACATTTCGAGTTTGGAATACCTGTGCGGAAACTGAGTATTCTATAAAACTTTTTACTCTTATTTTCAACCAGAAAAAATGTTTATAAAATATAATCTTTAGCCTGTTTAACAGGTCAGGCCATATCACGTGTCTCATATCTTGATAGCCTGCGAGCAAGCTCTCCTATTTGGGTGAGCAAAGCGAGCGGTGAGAGAACGCGTGACCGAGCGGCTCACTGCGAGGGGCTGGGGAAAGGAGCGCTTGCAACGATCTCTCATAAATTTTCATTTGTACCTCGCCCTTTTACTTCGCCCGGGATGAAGGGAAATACCATTGGGTAAAAAGTGTTGTTTGGGAAATCACAGTTGATTGATAACAGGTCTAGCTGGCCTGGCCTAAATTTTCACAGCAAATGTAGAAACACGATGCTCTTATCGCCAAAACCCGTGTTCTGTCGGCTATCGCTGAACTCACTCCAAAAAAGAAGACCGGCAGAGGTAGAAAATAATTCTCTTTTCAGAAGGAGAGAGCAATTATGGCTCTCTCCTTCTGTGAGAGGTAACTGTCGTCTGTGTGTCAATGATTTGGTTCTTAGGGTGATCATATTGGAACCGAGAACTTGTTTTAGCCCCCGGGTCATTTGATGTACATGTAAGCTTAATTCTCACAAAGCTGTACGTATGAAAGTGTTGGATTGCCAATAGAATATTGCGAGCTGAGGATAAGTTGGACTGAGTTTGTAGTTCTTGTGGAAGCAAAATCAGAACCGTTCATCATTTGTATTGATTTTGTTTGTGTCAAGTGCCTTGTTTAGCAGTGCTGGATCCAGTCCTTGAGATAGGGGGGTGGGGGTCATCCAGACCCTGAGATAGGGGGGAGGGGTCTCCAATTTTTTTTTTTCACCCCTGCAGGCCTCAGTTTGGTCTAAAAATAAGGGGGACCCCGAGCGTCTCCCCTGGATCCGCCACTGTTTAGTTCTGAAAATGAGAAGATTGAAAGTAAAGAGAGATTCAAGTGCCCAGTTCAAGCGCTGCCTTCCAGCGTCGGTTTCTTTGCCTGATTGGATTCCACTGTGTAGAAAAATTCAGATTCATGTAATGTACATGACAGCATAGCTGACAAAGAGTTAGCAGTGGACCGTCAAGAAGGACAATAAAAAGAGTAGGAAGCAACAGGTCGAGTAAAACGTAATAGAACCAAGTCCAGGAAAATGCTGTTCTCCAGTTCTGGCCAATGGACAATTATATAATGTTGGTGATTGCGACAGGAAGCTTAATGTCTTCTGAATGTCAACGACTTTTCAAATGTAAACAAAACGAGAATCAAAGTATTGAGTTCTTATCTTAACATTTACTTTCGATGTCCAATGGATAAAAAAAACATTAAAGTGGTCAAAAACATTGCTTTGATGCATTGAAAAGCTGTTGCGAAAGCGATTTCATAAATATAGAATAAATTACACGGGCCCTTTGCTATCTAAACTTGACAGGCAGTTGTCACTTTTCTAAACTGCGGCACTTTTTGCGATAACAGTTTTCCTGCTTTGCGGTGTCCCTGGGTTTCCGGGGTGGAAAGGAAAATTTGTCAGTGATCGTTGCAAGAACTCCTTTCTTTCCCCAGCCCACGGTTTCGCATCTCCTCTTGCGTGCCTCTCACGTGTCTACTTTTCACAATATCCTCCAACAACAATAACAACAGTTTATTCAGTGTTAAAGACTATGCTACCCACAATTAGCGGAGCTATTCTAGGTGGGCAACAATGCAATAATTGTCTCCTATAAATTAAGTCAGGCAAAGGAGTCCAGGTGACAGGAACCTTAACCTGAGATCAGGCGTCTTTTTTTTTTTTTTGCTTCTTTGGCTCGAGAGGGAAAAAAAATAACGCCTGATACATTTATTTAACAAGCAGTCAACCGCCCCCTAATTTACATGATCTACCGTTTGCTTGACCTGTCATGTTTTTAGCCAATAAGCGTTTACCAAACGGGAATCAAATTTTGGCGCGAATAATGTCTCTTTTGAAATCATGATCAGTTTTAGGAAAAAAAAATTTTTGGCACGTCTGTGTTCAGATGGCGCTTCAAAAAAAATAAAAAAAATTAATGTGTTGTGTTTTTGTGATGAAATACTCTGGAGCTGTCGTACCTTTGTGAATAGCTACAAATAATAAAGAATTTACTGGTTAAAGCTCGTTGACTTCGTTCTGTACTACGAAAAGCAGTGGAAAAAAAAAATTAGGCTGAAGCACCATATTTCACGAACTGAAAGGTGTTGTGAAAGCGAAGATCGCTCAGAATAATTCGCAGCATGATTTCTGAAGGAGGAAATACAGTCAAACCAGGTCAAGATTCCATTCATGAATTGATTATTTGAAAAGTGAACCCGTTTGTCGCTTCTGTAACTTGTTGCCGGTATCAAATTGCATTCAAATGATCGGTGAAGTTTTAACTGCAACTGTTTTGGTATACGATGAGCTGGTCAATATTTCAATGGATGAAACTTCTATTTAGGCATTCTTCAAATTCAAGAAAACTGAGCGGGCAGAAATTTCATTTATAACGAACTCGCGTGTGTATTCACTGCTTATTACGCAAGCAAAAATGCAGACTGAAATCAACAACAACTAACGGATGGCGTCATTTTGGCCAATCGGAACAGCGCAAATCATCCGCATTGTTTCCTATCCAATCAGAAAAAAGTCCAGATTCTGGCATTTTTACATGTGATCCGACAAAGAAATGTATCATGCCCTCTTCCCGTGAGAGACATAAAGGGATAATAGGGAGAGGGCATGATCTCAGGCTGCAGGAACCTGTAATAATTGTACTCAAATCAACATATATACACCTTCTTAGTCTCTAATAAAACCTTGATCAGAGCTTACCAGCTTGCAGGCTAAAATCTTGAAGACATGCACCTTAAGTTAAATGCAATAATTATGCTCAAAGTTTAAAACATAAAATTACACAACCTTTAAGTTGTCAGTAAACAAACTTCAAGATGCTGCATCAGTTTTTACCTGCATGGTATTTACACCTGAATTCTCCTGTCAAAACTTTGACCAATCTAAGACTAGATTGGTCCTGGAGTGTGACCAAAAGCACAATCAAACTAAAAGCAAAGCTTAAAAATATACCTTTTTCAAAGTTTGTTTTTGTAAGTCAAACAAAAGAAACATCAAGATTTTTACTGCAACAATTCCATTGGCTGCCTCTAGATAAACTGGTTAACTTTTTGCTAGCTGGAATCCCCCTTTCCCCCTGTCCCTCCCTGAAACTCTGTACATGCAGGTGTCTCGTATTGATAGGTTTTCAATTTCTACAGCAATGGAGGCTCTGCTGTGCATACTTCGTGTACATTGAGGTTCCACATAAAACTAAAATGGAATAGAGGAATTAGCGAAGCCAAGAGAAGCCCCCGCCCCCACCCCCGCAAAACAAAAAACAGCAACAACAACAAACACACAAACAAACAAAGGAGAGAAGAGAAAAGTATCGTAGCATGGACCAAAACTATGTGGAGCAAGTATTTTGGGGTTTAAAATTGAATTTTAACTGCTAATTTGGACTGGACATAGCTGATGGAGGGGACATGATCAATACCCACCACTATTACGGCCAAGAATTTGTCAAATTTTTCATTTGAAAGTTGTTTATAACTGTCAGGGGCACCTAACGACAATTTTCGGAAAATATCTGTTTCGAAGACGATTGAGATCTAGAATTTTCGGAACATTTTTTGTAAAATTTCTTGCTTGCCTGCGTCTCCAAGGATTCTCGAACATCTAAAAAATGGTATAATTACTCATTTTTAACGGATTTTTACCCTTACAAGGTCACCTACAATTTTTGGAAGCCTTTTTTCTGGCTGAAATTTTCGAAAAGGTAAGTTTTGATCCGTATAATTTTCGGATCACTAGACTTTCAGCTAGGAAATCCGAACAGATGAAAAATTTTTAGGGGATAAAAAATATGCCTATATCTACCATTTAAACTCTAAAATACATTTAACAATGCTATGTTTAAGTGGTTTTGAACTATATTCTGGTTGGGTGCCCCTGAACTGTGCTCATGTGACCAGCCATTGGTTTATTAGAATGTGAGACCGAGACTTTTAAGCATTCTTATGAAATGCGAGCCCAATAATTTACCTGTAAAAAATATGAGCCTGAAACTCTTTAAGTGTCAAAAATTTAGAGTTGATGCCAAACATTAATTGACTGAAAACTGAGGATGAGCCATTCAAAAGGCAGAACTTATATATGAATTGTTTCAGTTAGAAGCATGTCAAGCTCAAAGTTTAAAACATATGGGAATTCGAAATGCCAGATAACTTTTTTGCCATTTCCTGCCAAGCTTCGAGCTATTAAATAAGAAGACTACTGAAAACGGCAATGTAGTTCTACTGAGTCATTTAAGTTAAAAATGTATGGATGTTATCAGTCATTCTGTGCTGTTTAATTATCTGATCCTAACAGACTAAAGTAAAATTTGCACCTGTTTTTCTTGCTTGTTGAACTTACCTCCCTGAACATATAGCTTGATATTGGGTACAATTTTTGAGATTCAGAGATCAGATTCCATATCAAAATTTGAGACTTTGAGATGGGTCAATTTGTAGCAAGCTCAAGATTCAGAAACTCTCAGTTTTAAAGTTTAGATCTTGAGAAAAGGCTGATATTTTCCAAGATGCATCATTTTTGATCGACCAATAGTCCCTTAAACTATGCAAAATTAGCAAGTTTGATGGTATCAGTACCAGGGCTAGAAAAAAAGTCCTGTCCGGTCATCCGGGGCGAGTAGATTGTCTTGTTGGGAAAGTAACTTTTCTACCGCAAAGGTCCAAGCAAGTCAATTGGTAACTAAACCAGTAGTTAAGACAAGCAAACAATAATTGCCTTGCAGGGCAAGTAAAATGTAAAATGCAAAGGAGAAGCTGAAATTCAAGCTTTTTTCGAGCTCTGCAGTACCATTTTAAGATGGGACCAGCTTGAATAAAATACCATGAAATGGGAATGTTATTTTTACATGCAAAAATGGCTTCTTCTTCTTTTGTAAAGGTATCACCGAGTCATTCTTTGCAAACGGCCAGTCCTTCACACTCTTTGAGTAATCCAGCTCCCAGCAACAGCTCTCCAAACACAGAGGTTAATCCTATTGGCAGCCTGCAAGAATTGTGTATGAAGAACAATTGGACACCACCAAGTTATGATCTAGTTCATGATTCGGGAGAGGCACATTCAAAGACCTTCATTTATGAGTGCAAGGTATGTAATTTAGAAAAATAATAGTAAGTAATGGCTTATTTCACATGATTTCACATTACTTTACAAACTGGTGTAATTTTGATATTTTATGACAAGTTGCAATTGTAAGTAACACTACAGACACAAAAACCTATTTCCCATGCATTGTTGCAGATTTCTCTAGAAACTGAACTTTTAGAATATCGCTCAGCATTCTTTGATGCTCTTGGAAGTTTTACTGATTCTGACTCACAGTTGAACCCTGCAATCAACCAAGGACCAATTTAGAAAACTAAGTAGATAATTACAGTCAAAGCTCTCATAAACATCCAAAGTGGAAATTCACAGAAGTGGTTACGACTAGGGCTGGTTGTTTACAAGAATGGGCTGTGGTAAGCAACCATGAGACAAAGCAAGAGCCATAATGGCTCTTGGACAAAGCTATTGAGGGCAATCACTGCAGAGCTTTTAGTAAAAAATTTTGCAGATGTTGGTAATTACCACATATACCATTTCCCCTGAACACTTTAAATTTAAAAATCTAAAGTACTCAGTAAATTTGATGTTTAACAACCTTATTTAACAATTAAAGGTCAAATGAACCAAAATTTCGACCCTTTTTTATTTTAGTTCAATTCTAGTGAACTGTGTTTAATATGAACCGAATAAACATACTATGAAGTTTCAGCTCAATTGAAGCAAGTATCTCCGAGATATTCGCAATTAAAAATTGATGTTTTTTGGCCCTTATCTTCGTAGAGCGGTCGGAAAAATTGTCGGAAAAAACAGCTTGTGACGTTAATGTTGATCAGGTGAAAAAAAGCGGGAAATTCAAAACAGAGTTTTTCGACTCGACTTGGCGCAGAAGTGGTTTGTGCGGCCATAAACCTGGAAAGAACAGGCAATTTGTCTTCAAAAGTTGAAAGCTGTGGTTATAACCTTCTTATTATTTAGTTTTCTCGAAGAATACATCATAGTAAAACGGACTTTAACGACATTTACTAATTTCCTTGAGTTGTACAGGAAATGTGCGAGCGTAAGTCCGATTTTCTTCAAGATATATAAGGTCCGGAGCTCCACCGTGGACACAAAAACAAAATATCTTTGTATAATAATCTGCCCAAGAAATTCAAGTTTGCCCACAATGTGTTTGAAGTCACTGCACTTTGTCGCACTCGAGCTGATATTTTAAAACCCACGCTCGATCGGACGCTTCTAGCTTTGCAGATCACTAAACTATAAACAAAATCCTCAATGTAGAAGTTTTGGCGTTGATATGTGAGCAGAAAAAGAGTTAATCTTTATCTAGTAAATCTTCCCCAAGATCGGTTTCAAAGCAACCATAGTTTTTTAAACTTGATCGTTTCGCGCAGATTAATTTTGCTTTGTGTTGTCCAGTTGAACATCAGTGTATTAAACACCTGTTAAGAACCTATGTGTAAGTAAGGTTTCCTTCAAACAAAGTTAAGTTAAAGTTACATTATTGCAAAAACTTCTTTCCAATTATGTATAAGATTTAATTACCGATTGAGGTCACTTTAAGGACCATAGACGCCACTTAACTTAAAGCTGGGAAAGAGATGCGACAAGCAACTAACAATTCCATCGTGCATAAAATTCAGCTTAAGTAAACTAAAAAAAGCTCCAATAAGGTTACAAAACAACAATTTTTCATCATAAAAGCATAAGGCTTAAGGCTCTTATACCTACTGACAAAGAAGAAGTGAATTTTCTGTACAGAAACAACCCACCTAAAGATCTTAAAAGCAAAAGATCAGTTGCAAGCTTCGCAGCCAAGCCATGATTCCGACTACTTAGCTAGATTAGCTACTTTTTTTTAGTAATAACTGGTCCATGCGATGGTCTTCAGTTCAAGCAAATTAAACTCAGCAAACTGAATCATTAGAAAATACAGAAAACTGCACATAAGGATTTGTTTTGCTCGCTTCAGTCAAATCCAGCTCAAGCAATTGTTTACGGACAGAGTCTATTGTTTTGGAGTCACTGCCGGCAGTTGTGGTTCTCCGCTACTTCACAGCGAGTGAAAGGAAAATTTGCGTGCAGAAAGATAACAAAACTATGTAATTAAAACTGAAGAAACTAAAGGAAAAAAAACTCTGACTGTTATTACTTGAGCAACAGAAAAATGATCGAAGCAGTCTTTTCTTCTCGAGTAAGCATGCTGGGGCCCGTTTCTCGAAAGTCCCGGTAACTTTACGGACCCGAAATCAAATATTCAAATCGAAATATGAAAAATAAGAGCGCGGGTCCTGGCTAGCAAACTACTCCATTTTGTTTCATTAACTGACAGTTTTATCGTGTTAGATGCAAAACTATTGAAACCTCGATCTTTAATGTAAACGGAGACAGCTTACCGGGCCTTCTAAAGTTCCGAGGAAGTTTTAAGCGCTCAAGTTTGTTCACTCGCAAGCGTTAGCATTACGGTTCTTTGACATAAGACAAGGATAAAGCTGGTTCTGCAAAGGTAAATAAATCTGGGCATGTAAAAAAACTAACCGTAACTACTAATAACAGAATACAAGCGGGTTTTTAATTCAGTCCGGCGAAAGAAGGCGAAGCATTGGACACAAAATCAATTCACAAATCGAATGCACAATTATCAGAAAAATACAAACCTCTTTGGAAATGTTCAAAACGTTTTATTCCTCCTCAGACTGACCGACTGATGATCTGTTTTTACTCTAACATTGGTTTTTCTGAATCCAAAGTAATTTTCAAGTGACGAAAAAACAACAAAAACAACAAAAAAAGCCTTTAGAAGACGTCACGTAGTCTCCAGTCTATCGCGCAGCCATTTCAGAAACGTTTTCGTGAAGTTTTCGGAAATGCTCGGATTTTGATCTTTTATCTTTCTATAAAGGCTTGGGAAGAAAAGTCTTTACCCAAATCTCACTAGTAGTTAGTAAAAGATACATTTTGACGCTTACCCTCGCTTCAAAAAAAATGGTGCCCGCCTATCTTCGAAATGCGTGCCCCAATATTTGAAATAAGGCCAAATCGTCGAAAGTGTATTTTTTACTAACTACTATGAGAGGAATGATGTTGCGTAAGAAATAAAAAAATTGATTTTAAAAGAATAAAATCTTATAATAAATATTAACATGTCAAAGTTATCAGCTTCAAAAGAATTCCAGCGTATGTCTCTGGATGAAATTAGAAAATTAGTAAAAAAAGAGGAAAAAGCTCTTAAAAAAGAGTACTCTGAGTTAGCTGAAAGAAAGAAACTTATCAAAAGGTTAGAAAAAATACGTAAGGCTAGGAAAAAAGTGAGAAGTGGAATAAAAATCAAGAAAAAATCTCCTAAAAAAACTAAGTCATTTCAGGAGTATTTTGATGAGTGTATTAAAAACAGAAATATACCTGAAGACACTCCACCTTATTTTAAGAAAGCTCTTCAGAAGGCTTTAAAGCAATGCAAAGAAAAAATTGTCGAGACTAAAACAGCTATTGATGAGTTTGCAAAACAGTATGTAATAGAGGGTGATCCAAATTTAACACCTGATCAATTTTTTGAAAAAAATAAAAATCTTATCGAACTATTCTTCAAAAATAACAAAAATATTAAAGCAAATTTTGTTCTTGTTTGTGATATGCAACAACCACTTTTTGATAAACATGGTCTTACTGGTTACAAGGAGGATGAAGCGTATTTTAGAACTGAGAAAAAGAGAGTTTTAAAGTCAACAAATGTGGAAAAGCTTGTAAAAGATAACTTTAAAAAGATTAACTTAGATATCGAAAAATTTCAGAATAATGGAAGTGGATGGTATTTTAAGAATATAAAAGAGTTGCAGATAAATGTTGTTGAATACTTCCCTCAAAAAGGTTCATCTTATATAGACCTTCCTCGCTGGATTAAACTAAAGAAGGCAATAGTTAATCCTAAAAACAAAGATGATAAATGTTTCTTATGGTGTATACTAAGATATCTTCACCCCAAACAAAGAGATAATGAGAGAATAACAGATTTGAAAAAGTATGAAAATGAGTTGGTAACAAAGGGGTTATCTTTTCCAATGGATGTTAGAGATATTAGAAAGTTTGAAAAGCTTAATCCAAATATTCCAAGTATAGCAGTCTTTTCAGTTGAAGGAAAAACTATTTACGCTCTCAAATTATCAGACAAAGAATGCCAAAACTCAATAGACTTATTTCTTTTTGAAAAGGATGGAAAAAGTCATTATTCTTTGATAAAAAATCTAAGTAGATTAATTAGAAATCAACTAACTAATACAAGAGTTACCGGAGGTGTTTACATTTGTAAAAGATGTTTGTGCCATTTCAAAGTAAAAAGTAGTTTTGAAAAACACGAAAAATATTGTTCTGGCAACAAAATGGTTACAGTAAAAATGCCAAAGAAGGGAGAAAGTATTTATTTTAAAAACTCTTACAGAAAGTACCCGGTTCCTTTTGTAATATATGCTGATTTTGAGTGTTTTACAAAACCTGTTTTACATTGTGTCCCAGATCCAAGTAAATCTTACGACGTAGAATACCAAAAACACGAACCATCAGGATTTTGTTTTTATCTCAAAGGAATAACAGACTGGTTTAAAACAGAAAGCTTTACAAAGGAAAAAGAAGATGACAATGTGGCGGCTATTTTTGTAAATAAAATTGTGGGTTACACCCAATCAATATACGATGAATACTACCGAAAACCGAAATTAATGTTTTTAACTAAACAGGAAGAGAATTCTTTTAAACAAGCTGAATATTGCTCGTTATGTGAGGAAGAATTGGGTGATGACAGAGTTAGAGATCACTGCCATTTTACAGGTAAATACAGAGGTGCTGCTCACAACGAGTGTAATTTGAGATGTCGTAAACCAAGAGTTCTTCCAGTTATATTCCATAATCTTCAAGGTTACGACGCTCATTTATTTATAAAGGAACTTGCTAAAATTCCAGGAAAATTAGAATGCATTCCATCTACGGAAGAGAAATACATTTCCTTTTCAAAACACATCAAAGTTGGTGAGTACAAAGGATTTGATATTAAGTTTGAAATTCGTTTTATTGATTCATTTAAATTTCAACAAGCATCTCTTGCCTATCTTGTTGGAAATCTAGAATCCAAAGACTTTTTTAATACTAGAAGAAAGTTCAAGCATAATACTAAACTGCTCACCCGTAAAGGGGTTTATCCATATGACTATGTTTCAAATCTTAGTAAACTATCAGAAACACAACTACCACCAAGAGAAGAATTTTATTCAAAGCTAAACGATGAGCACATAAGTGAAGAAGATTTTTATCATGCTATTCGAGTATGGGACACATTCAATTGTAAAACAATAAGAGATTATCACGATCTTTATCTTAAGTCTGATGTGTTACTCCTTGCTGATGTGTTTGAAAACTTCAGGAAAACTTGTATGAAACATTACAATCTTGATCCAGCTTATTATTACACTTCACCAGGTCTTGCCTGGGATGCATGCCTTAAAACAACAAAGCAGGAATTAAAACTACTTGACGATTATGATATGTTAATGATGTTTGAAAGGGGAATACGCGGCGGAATAACTCACATATCAAAGAGATACGCAGAAGCCAATAATAAGTACATGAAAACCTATGACCCCCAAAAACCCTCGTCCTACATTCAATACCTAGACGCAAACAATCTTTATGGTTGGGCGATGTCTCAACCACTTCCAACACATGGTTTTGAGTGGGTTGAAAATATAACAAAAAGCCAAGTCCTCAATATAATTGAAGGCAATTCAGCAAAGGGCTATATTTTTGATGTAGATCTGGCATATCCAAAACATTTTTGGGAAACGCATAACGATTACCCGCTTGCTCCGGAACTTATTAAAGTAAACGGGGTTGAAAAACTTATATGCCATTTCAAACCAAGAAACAATTATGTCCTTCATTATAAAAATCTGAAACAGTATCTCAATATGGGGCTCAAACTTAAAGCGGTAAACAGAGCAATATCTTTTGAGCAATCCCCCTGGATGGAACCCTATATAAGAAAGAACACAGAATTGCGTAAAACAGCATCCAACAGTTTTGAGAAAGACTTTTTTAAACTTATGAATAACTCAGTTTTTGGAAAGACAATAGAAAACATTAGAAAAAGACAAAACATAAAACTGGTTGATAATCGTAAAATAGCTCTAAAACTCTCAAAAAGGCCCAACTTTGAAAGAGTTACGATTTTTGATAAAAATCTTATTGCAGCGCATATGAAAAAAACAGAAGTTTATTTTAATAAACCTGTTTATGTTGGTCAAGCAATTTTGGATTTATCCAAGACACTTATGTTTGATTTTCATTACAATTACATAAAAGACAAATACGGGGAAAAAGCACAGTTACTCTTTACAGATACTGATTCGCTAATGTACCAGATAGAAACAGAAGATTTCTATAAAGATATAAAAGACGATGTGGAAACAAAGTTTGACACTTCAGATTATCCAGCAATTCACCCATCTGGTATTCCAACAGGGTTAAACAAAAAAGTAATTGGAATGTTCAAGGATGAAGTTGCTGGAAAACAAATCACACATTTTATAGGTCTTCGCCCAAAGCTTTACAGCTTTAAAATAGAAGAGGGTAAAAATGTTAAAAAGTGTAAGGGAATAAAAAAGTCTGTGGTTTCAAAAGGAATTACATTTGAGCATTATTTTGATTGTTTATTCACGGGGGATAAACAAATGCGAAGTATGAAAATAATACAAAGTAAGAATCACAATATATATTCCAAAGAGGTTAATAAAATAGCTCTGAGTTGTGAAGATGATAAAAGGCTGGTACTAAGCAACAAAGTTGATACTAAAGCAATAAGGCCGAATTAAAAATTAAAAAACTAAAAAAATAAATGAGTTACAAAGAAGATCAAATAAAAAAATATTTGGAAATTTTGCATAATTACACCAAAAATAACTTAGATGAACCAAAAATGCAGCCCCAATGTTCAAATTGCGAAAACAGTGAAAATTTCGCAATAGATTTTGGATATAAGATTTGTGAAGAATGTGGATCAACAAATGGGCATGTATTAGGTTACTTTAATCCAAAAGATTACGATAGATTATATTTCAGGAAGAAAAGCATATACCAGCGAAAATACTATTACGAGAAAAAGATAAAACAGATTCCAAATTTGACAGGAGAGGAAAAGGATGGGTTATACAAAAAGTTGATGGAAATAGATGAGAAAGTTATGAAAGATGTAAATAAAAAGTTTAGCCGTAAGAGAATGATCAACATCTTTTATATCATAAATAGAATTTTGGAGGAAATGGGGTTAAAAAACAAAATTCAACTTAATATTTCATCTCAAACAAAAGACTATTACGACAGATGGTGGGAAAGTTATCTTAAATTAAGAAGTCACGAGAGGGAGGGGTGTTAGGTTCCCCTTATAAGAGAGTAAATTCTATATTAAAATTAATATAGAATTAATTTTCATATTACATCAAATTTTGTAGCTTAAACAATTAGTTTCTAAAAATAAAAAAATGGAAAAATTTATTTTGGAAAACGGCAAAAAATTTTTTATTCATCCAGTCTATAAAAAATATGCTGCGAATGAAGACGGTGAAATCATGAATATCAGACTGAGGAAAGCTAGAAAAGGTTATTTTAACCAAAATGGTTATTTAAATTTTACAATATATTTGGAAAAAAACAATTACAAAAATTATTCATCTCATAGATTCGTTTACGAGTGCTTTTACGGTCTAATTGAAAAAAACAAACAAATAAACCACATCAATTCTATCAGAGTGGACAACAGGTTAAAAAATTTGGAAGTCGTAACTGCAAGTGAAAATATTAGAAAATCGTCAAAAAACAGAAATTTTGGTTGTTATCGCAAAAATCCAAAAAGGGTTTTGGCAATAAATTTGTTTACAAAAAAGGAAACAAATTTTAAAAGCTTATACTCTGTTAGCAAAATATTGGGTATAAATCCAGGCCAAGTTAGTATGATTTGCTCGGGCATTTATAAAACAGCAACTTCGAAAATAAACGGTCAAAAATATTCTTTCAAATATCTAGATTAGATTTCAATATTTTTTGGTATTGAAATTAGGTTCTAATTCAGCAACTTTATTTCGTCTAGATAGTAAAAAATTTTTATAAATTCCTGGCACTTTTTCTCATCTTCTGCGCTAACTCCCTCCATTTTGGAAATCTTATGGCAAAGGCTAATGGCATAATCAAGACAAATTTGGTCGTCGATTTTATACTTAACTTCCATTTCCTTTACCAAATCTTTTCCAACAGAAGATAAAGTAGTTTCAAAATTTTTTATAAAACTTTTTTTTAAATTTCTCAACTCCTCCATTTATTACTTGCTTAGATTATTTTTTAGTTTTCCCCCTCGTGCTTAGATTATTTTTTTCATCTATCAGTTGGAGGAAAGGCTGTTTTTTCCATTTATCTTGAGAGGAAAGGGGGTTTTGGGGACCCCCCATAAACTTCTTGTTATAATTACTAACAAATCTATCCGATAAAGGAGTTTGGTCAATTATCATTTCATCTATCAGTTTCATCCTATCAACAAACTCTTGTTTATCCCATTCATCTCCTCTAAGAGCTGATCTCAGTTCTACCAATACCTTTTCATAAGTGGTATAGGCGATCTTTGACATTTCAATTTTTCTCTGGGCATTTTCTTTCTTTCCAATACCCGCAACAATAATGCCAGCACCATTTATAACTCCTAAGACAACAGGATTAAGAGTTATTCCTCCGGCAATTGTTCCTATAGTTACAAGGCTTATTCCAGTTATAGTTAAAACATTATCAAGAAATTTATAACTTTTGTAACAATTTTTAAAACACCAATATTTTTTGTGGTAATGCCTGTAAAAATCTTTTAGAACATCAATATCTGATTTTGACAGAGATTTATCAATGTGATTAAACTCAAAGATGTCTTGCATTTTATCCTTCATTTTATCCTTTGCGTAGATTATGCGGCGTAGCAGCAGGGGGGTTTTGGGGGGTGCCCGAAGGGCTTGCCAAGGTCCACCCACTATAAAACATAACTTCCATTTAACTTTTCCTGTAGCATAACTTTATGATATTGTTCTGAATCAGTGTCGTAAAAGTTTGGAGAAAACATTATTTTACTTAAAATTCCATCTTGAGTTGTAAACTCAAAATTTTGTTCGTTGGTGTATCTAACGACTTGTAAGCTTAATATTGCGCTGTAGTTACTTATTTTAACTTTTGTAATATTTTGGCTAAAATCTTCTGCTAACCATATAACAATTTTTTTTCCATTAAAATCACTTGGCAAGGTTAATTGTCTTCTTTGACTATTAACAACTAAATTTACTGTGTTACCTGAAGTAGTATAGTAAAAATTTAATAAAGTAGATCTGCTAGTTGTATCTTTTTTTTTTATACTAAAATTTCTATTTCTCCAATGATAAAATATTAAACATAAAGTATATTTTGTAATATAATCAGGAGGAGAAAAACTAATAATATAATTATTAAGATTTAGACCTTCTTTTTTTATATCATCTATGGTTCTAAGAGGAATACCTATTTCTCTTAAAGTATTACCACTACTTGAAGATAAATATCTGAAAACAATACCTGATGAGGATCTACTCAATTTGTAATTAGTGGCATTAGTAAAATCATAAACATCTTCGAAATAACTTCTGTATAAATCGTTTATAGTGTGAGGTTTTATTTCCTTTACCATTCCAACTGTTGCTGCGCTATTGTCATTATTTCTATCAAGATTAACATTTAATATTTTTTTATTATTTGCATTTATATCAACATTGAACACAACTTCTGTTGGTTTGATATCAAATGCGGTGTGATAATCATAAACTTTATCTGGATCTATATTGCTAACTGTTCCCACAATTCCATAAGTAATTATATAAACACCTGAAAACTGATTTGGGTAAGTAGCCAAGTCAGTTCCAGTTTGTGGTATATCAACCAAAAAATGAAGAAAGAACCTATTTCCAGTTGCTAACTTCCGGAAATTAACTATTATTCTGTGATAATACATAAATTGTTGTTGCCCATTTGATTGTGTGTACCTATGAGATAGTTTCCTTACACTAACATTTCCAATTGATAATCCTGTTGAAGTTCCTTTATCCACACTTATTTGAGACTTATGCCATAAAGCGTATTCAGTGTTGAGTATTTCCAAGCACAGAGTGTAATCGGTATTAGCAGTTAACCTGTAAAAGTTGATTCCCATTTTGTACTTATATCCCCCTTGGGAATTTTTGTTTATACCTAAATAAATAACTTTGTGGTTATAATCGTGAAAGTTTCCTTGGTTTGGTGCTAAATCTCCTATTCTTTTTATGACAAAACTGGTTACGTTATCTATTTCATCAGTCCATTGAGACCCACTTGACATGAGATAAGCAAACTGGTTGTTGTAATGACTTGGTTGAACTGCTGTTTTGTGAACTAGTTTGTCAGCGTAATCTTTATTTACCGCGTCATTGTCTTGGGTTGGTTTACTAAGATTTATTATTTTATTATTACCAACATTAAGGTTCCCAGTCATAGCAACGGTACCATCTTTTTCTAAGTAATCGCTTAAATCTGGAGCATCTGTGTTATCATCCACATACTTTTTGGTTGCGGCGTCTGTGTTTGATGTTGGAGTTGCGAGACCAACTATTTTTTTGTTTCCAAGATTTAGGTTATTAGTCATTGATACACTTCCATCTTTTTTTATAAAAGAACTGGTATCAGGTATTGAGTCATCCACATACTTTTTGGTTGCGCCGTCAGTGTCTGATGTTGGTGGTCTAAGGTTAACTATTTTTTTATTATCCATGTTTAAATTATTAGTCATTGTAGATGAACCATCACGGGCAACATACTTTAAATCTGTAAAAGCTAATGGTGTTGGTTGATTACTTCCATTTGGGGCTGGCAGATTAAATATTCGATTATTTGCCATATTGATATTACCTTTCATTGGGAAGGAACCATCTCTGTCAAGAAATGTGTTGTCTACGTAATCTTTTGTAGGAGGTTCTTTTCCATCTAGTGGAGTGCTAAGATTTGTAATTCGGTATTGATCTCCCATATTAAGGTTAGAATCAACTGTTAGCCTTGAAGTAGGTACTGATTCGCTTGATTTATCATCCACATACTTTTTGGTTGCTGCGTCATCATTGGATGTTGGGGCTCCTAATTTAATTATTTTATTATTAGTCATGTCTAGATTAGCAATCATTGTTTTGGAACCATCTCTGTGAAGAAATCTGCTGTCTGTGTATAGTTTTGAGGCTGGCTCATCTGAATCAATAGGAAGTTTAAGGTTAACAATACGATATTGGCTCTTCATATCGATGTTTGAATCAACTGTTAAACGTGTTGTCGAGGGTGATCCACCAGAATTATCATCAACATACTTCTTTGTAGCAGCATCAGTATTAGCACTCGGTGCTCCAACATTTGTTAGTCTTTTTTTATTCATATCATAATTTCCATCTGCAGTTAAACTAAATCCAACTCCTGGAGCACCCTGAATTCCTTTAGCAAAAGGATGATCAAAATTTTGTTCGTTGAATATTCCCATTTTATCTAATGGTTATATTTATTTTAAAGGGGCTGTTTCCCTTATATGTTCCCGTTAAAGTTTATTGCTAAATGTTTTTTTGGTTTATCAACGTATAAAAATGAATATTGTTTTTTAGTTGCTTTCCTATATGATTCTTTGTCAACTCCTAATTCGGATGATATTCTGTTTGCTTCTCTCAATGATGGAAATTCATATAGACAATAGTGAGAACAATTCAACCGGATATCCTTTGGAGTTTTATAAAATGATTGACTGAGGTAGATTACAGAGCAATTCTTATGTCGTCCTTGGATAAAATAATCTATTAACTGTCTCTGGTTTTTATCACAGACGTAATCATCGAATATCACAATTTTTTGATTGTCTTCGTAATCCATTTCTGTAACCGGGATTATTTCATTGTTACTAACATGAAGTATTTCATATCCAATTTTACTACTTAACTCCCTCATTTTTTTGATTAGTTTTTGATACTTATCCTGTTCAAGATTACGTGCGTAAAGATAAATCTCATCGTAATGCAACAGTGGTTTTATTAACATGTGATACAAAAGATTAGTCTTACCACTTCCACTGTTTCCACAGATTAACATTCGAAACGTATCCGCCGGCATAAAAGGAAATAACTGTTTATATTTTTTATCAATGTCATCAGTACTATCATAATTTGGAATTTCCATTTATTTATTTAATAGATAAAATGGGGGTTTGGGGGGAAAACGTAGATTTCCCACATTATCTATTTAATAGATAAATGGATATAGAAGAATTCAAAAATTTTGCAAGAAATAAAATCGAAGCCGACGCTTTGACACGGCAGGTTAGAGATGTTATAAAAACAACAAAATGGCAAAAACAAGATATGAGAGAGGGGTTTAAAGAAACATTTAAACCACTTATTAAATCTCAAGATTCTATTAAAAAAAGTATCGACGAACAACAAAACGCAACTATAGCACAGCTTAAAAAAAATCAACTTGCATTAACATCAGGATTGGAAAAAATTAATGAAACTAATTTAAGATTGGCTGAAATGTCCGAATTACCAGCTTTGGAAGGTGATTATGATGAACCTACAACATCTAGACCAAGATCACCTTCACGTTATAACATTGAAAAAAATCTTGACAATGCGGATTTAGGAGTACTGAAGGATATGGGCTACCCAAGACCAAATGATTTTTTTGATACTAACCCTGAACGACTTAGAGAAATACGTGTTGAAGTAAAAAATGATGTAAAAACATTTACAGGGCAAATAGCTGGTTTGAAGAGAAGAAAACAAAAAACAGAAGATGAAAAGTTAGAAATAGAAAAAATTCAAATGCAAAAAGATTTACTACATAAATACAAAAACATTCTTGAACTTTATTTAGGTTCGCTTGATTATAAAATGGGACAAGGAATGATTTACTATAACAACCCACATCAACTTCTAAACAGACTTGAATTACTTGGTGGTTCAATTCTAGCTGGGAATAATGGTGTGATACCTGAGTTTTCTCAAATAGCACATCTTCTCAACCAAATGAAAGTGATCTCAAAAAAACAGCTAAATGATTTAATAAAAACTTATATAACTATTAGATAAAAATGGAAGAACGAGCTATTCACATTTCTTCGATAAACAGAGAAAAAAGAGGAACAAGCAGACCTGGTGATTTTACTATCAAATTTAACCCATCTTTGGAACTTGACCCTGAAAAGAAACATCAACTTGCTCTTGATCGATTGTCCATGACTTATTCTTGGTACAACATTAGAAGTGATTATGGAAACAATAAAATCAAATACACTCATGATGGAACCAACTGGCAAACAATTACTTTTACAGATGGAATGTATTCCTACTCAGATATCAATGATTACATTCATCAGTACATGGATCAAAAGTCTCATCACTCAACAGATTCAGGAGGAAAAAAAACTTATTCAATCAATCTAACTTTTATACTATCCACCTATCGTGTGTTAGTATCACTCGATAGTGATTATCAACTTGATTTAAGAGGGACAGAATTTGGAGACCTAATTGGTTTTGAAAAGAAACTTATTAATAAAACAGAGTATGGATCAAAACTACCAAATATCACAAATTCAATTGATGTGTTAAATATCAACACAACCGCAATAACAGATAGCATAGTAAATGGAATAAATACAAATACCATAGCTGTGATACCAACCGATAATCTTACAAGGTCTTATCCATTTACGTTTGAGCCTAAAAGACCATTGTATTGCCCTGTCTCTTCATTTCACATTGATGAAATGAGAATCTATGTTACAGACTCACTTGGAAGACCTGTAAATTTCAACGGTATAGATTGGTTTATGACTTTGATACTTCACAGCATGTAACGGGTGAACCTACGGTTCCCCCGAAACCCCCTCCCTTGGCTACGCCGCATTAATATAACTATTAAAATAAGATATGACGAGACAATCAGAGTATAAAAAGAAATTTGACCCTGAATTGGGTAGATTTACAATTCAACATATTTATGGTGAAGGAGGCGTCGAAGGCGGCGGTATAAAGGATGTGTTTAAAAGTATTGGTTCTAAATTATTTGGACAGACAGTAAAATCTGCTGTTAAAAAGGGAGCTAAAAAAGCAGTAACATCAGCTGCAACAAAAACCGGTGAATATGCTGGTAAAAAGGCCGGTGATAAAATAGTTCAATTGTTATCAAACGGGAGGGTTGCACCCCCCCAAAACCCCCCTGCTAAAAAAGTTACTTTTAATAAAAATGTAAAAATAGTTCCAAACAAAAAAATAACTCAAAAAGAAATAAATCAAAGAGTGAATGCAATTCTTAGTGGTGGAAAATTATATAGTTATTAAAATAAAATGAAGTCTTTTAGAAATCCAAAATATTTAGACAGATATGAAGATGTTGTTTTTGACCTGGAACAGGCTCTTGCAACACCTGGAAATGGTGCTCATCAAACTAAAACAGAACATAGATTTATTGCTGATAACACAGGTGAAGCAACTCCATTTGATTGGTATAATGCGCGATTTTCAGTAGATTTCAAAGTTAATCAGCTAGCTGCTGGAGCTAATATAGATGCTGATGGTGACGAAATGGGAATAGTAAATGGAAGTAATTCTCTCATAGAAAAGTTAACCATAATTGCAAATGGGCGAGATGTTTACAGTTGCAACTACGCCAATCATGTAGTAAATATCAAAAATTTGCTTGAGTATAATCCTTCCTATGTAAAGAGTGTCGCTACAAATGAATTTTACTATCTCGATACATCAAGACATGCTGAAAAAAATAAATTTACATCAAGGAGAGTAACACACAGGCAAAATGCTGCTGGCAACGCTGATGAAGCGGGTAATATGTTAGATGCAGTAGTAGCTAATTATAACAAAGGTTTTGCTGCGAGAAAAGCACTTCTTGGCGACTCAGCAACAGTGCGATGTGATATTCCCCTCAACAGATATTCTTTCTTTGAGGCATTGGAGGATAAACTTCTTCCAAATACAAAAATTGAAATAAAAATTGAACTCGAATCGGATAACAATCTTATCTGGCGAGCTGGCGGAAATAATTGTAGAGTTATACTAACAAGATTACAACTTTTTGTTCCAAAACTTATGTTTAATGATGATGGAATGAAGTTGTTATTGCCAAATTATCTCAAGCCCTACAAATGGATATATCTTAATGAAGTAGTAGAGCGATCAAATAACTCTCAACAGCAAACAGGACAATTCAGAATTACAAATGCTATCTCAAAGCCACGCCATGTCTTTGTTTTTGCAATTAACACGGCAAATATTGAATCACAAACAGCAAATCCATTCCTTTACAATACTTTTAATCTGCCAAACAATGCTAATATATCTCGTTGTTATCTCGAGGTAGGAAATGGAAATGAATACCCTGATATTCACTTTAAACCCGCTACAGATCCAGCAAGAGTGTTTCGGGAAGTAATGTCATACGTCTATGCAAATAATGATTATCAAGGTGGAACACTTCTCAAAAGATCAACTTTTGAAGATTTGTTTCCTTTTGTTTATTTTGACCTAACAAAACAAAAAATGGATATCAAAGATGGGGTTACAAAACTAGCATTTCATTACGAATTAACTGCTAATCCAAACGCTGATTATAATATTTACGCGCTAGTCTTACATGAAAGAATAGCAGAAATATCACAACAAGATGGAAAACTATTGCTTAGAGCGTAGGGTGGGGGGAATCCCCCAAAACCCTCCTGCTGCTACGCCGCGTATCAAAAGTTTTCACAAACTTTCTAACACTGTGATAGCAAACTTGATAGTTACTATCACTTTGATATACGTGGCGAATAAATTGTTGTGAATGGGGGGATTGCATCCCCCAAAACCCCTCTGCTTCTAAAAAATACTATGATGTAATGGGGGGATTGCTACGCGTAGCCCCTCCAAAACCCCCCTGCTTCTAGAAGGTTCTAATGACAAAGCAATTAGATTTTGAAGATAAAATCTAATTATATCAAACGGGGAAACCCCCTCCCTTCGTAGCGCCGCGTGAGGTTACACGTAATTTTAAAAAGTTATATAATAAGGGGAAAACAGCCTTCAACACCCCTTTCCTTGTCTACACCACGTAAAATAAGATTTTTAATATAAACATTAAAATAAAATGTCTAATTATATGGAATATGGAGTAACACTTACAGATGGACAGAAGTCAAAACTAGCTTCTGCGATAATAAATCAGTCACCTTTGACTCTTCGGTTAAAACATTCGCATCTTAGAGGAAATGATGAGTTAATGTTGACAAAAAGACAGATTGATAAAATAAATAAATCTATTGCAAATGGCACAGGATCTGATATAAAGATAAGTAAAACTCAAATTAGAAAATCTGTAAAACATGGAGGAAACTTATTTTCATCACTAGCATCTCTTGGAGCAAAAGTTCTTCCTTTCGCAATAAAAGGAATTTCAAAAGCTGTTCCCGCATTAGCAACCGGTGCTGCAACCGCACTTGGTGAAATTGGGCTAAATAAAATATTTGGAAAAGGAATCACAATCCCCCCAGAGTTTTTCCCAATGCTACCAAATATCGTAAGAGAATTTACCAAATCACAAATAAATCAAATTAACAAAGCTTATCAATCAGGTAGTGGAGTAGTTATAAAACCAACTCGTAAACAGATAGAAGGAGGATTTTTAGGTACACTTGCTTCTATTGGTATTCCAATAGCAATTAGTTTGGTATCAAAGATGCTTGGAGGAGGTCTTCAGGTCGATAGACGTGGATCATCTAATACAGCAAATGTTTACGTGCCACCCACACATGGTACAGGTTATCCGTATCAATCACCTCCTTTTATCGGTACATGGTCCAACCCAATAGGAATGGGTGTTAAAAAAAAAAGTCCAAAGGCGAGGGTCTACTATTAGGAAAAAACAGCCCATTCAACTCAATTCCCATTCTCGGTACCATTTTATAATGGGGGGAGTGCCTCCCCCCAAAACCCCCCTGCCCCATTTCGAGATTAAACCTCTTTCAAACTTTGACCTCATGGAATGGATAAAAAGACTTGGTATAAAAAATTTCAGAGGAATATACAGTCGTGATGGACTACCTCATAAAATAAAAAAAGAATGTGGAATAATCAATCTGGATGATATAACAGGGCCTGGAACACACTGGGTTTGTTATAGAAATGGGAAAAGCGGTTTTTATGAGTATTTCGATCCTTTTGGTCTGATAATGCCAAACGAAGTATTAGATTATTTTCACACAGGGCCTGTAAAACCTATTGTGTACTCAATGGATGAAATACAAAATCGCAGCACTGTTCTATGTGGTTATTGGTGTTTATATTACTTATTAGAAAGACAACGAGGAAAAAGTATTTTAGATGTAATACATAACCCACATTTTGATAATGATAACAGCGATTTCATACAAGAATACTTTGTGGGGGGATTGCATCCCCCAAAACCCCCCTGCTGTAAGGATTTAGAGATAAGACGATAAAAATAATATTTAACAAATATTATTTTTTTTTAATCTTCATCTGGGACATTTTTTAGTGATTTAACCCTCTCAACTTTTGTATTTAGATCTTTAACACTATCAACTATATCTATGAAATTAGAGTAAATATCAATAAGACGATAAAGTTTCTTTTTTTTATCACTATTTAGCTGCAACCAAGAATATTCCTCGTTTCTTATTTTTTTCCACATCTCACATTCACCAACCATCAGAACTCTAGAAAGATTTTCGTTTTTCTTTCTAAGAGACTCCAACTCATGAGTTATTTTTACTCTTACTTCTTTCTCAAAATCTTTTAGAGTTTTAACATCTATATTTTTTTCAATCTCAGAAAAGAATTTAGCTTCCATTTATTATATAAATAGATAATTACCTTTTACAACTTTGTTAAGCGTATTTGATTTCTCACTTATTTCCATAAGTAGCTCAAATACTTTTATAAATTTCGTATCGTTTTCCAATCTAGAAAAATCAGCGTATTCATAACTCATGTTTAGACTGTTGTATATCTTTTGAAGCTCACTTTTCAGAAAATTAGATCTAGTAGTCATACTTCGTAGATGTATTTTTTATCTAAACATTATATTAAATGAAAGAAACTTATTGTGTCGTAGATAAAAGAGTAACCCCTTGCACAGAGCCAAGTGGTTACCAACAAGATAAAAGAGGTAGAACTCAATTCTTTTGTAGATGCGCAGTTTGTGGAAATAAAAAAGTAAGATATGTAAAAATGGGGAATACCCCCATGCAAACTGGAAGTGGAAAAAGAAAAACTAAAAAGAAGTCAAAAAACTAATCAGCCCGTCTGAAGGGGCGGGCGTCTTTGATACTGTTGTTGGTACAGCAGTTGATGGATTTGTTCATTACGGTTTACCTTGGATGGGTAATAAAGCAGTTGAAATGGGAAGGTATTATGGGTCAGAAGCGCTCAGAAACCCTAAATTACAGAAAAAAGCAATAAATTATGCTTTGGACAAATTAAATCCAATGATACAAAACGTAGGTTCTCAAGCTCTTGACCAATTATCAACCAAAATACGACCAAAGAAAAACTACAAAACAAACAGAAAAGATCTTGATGGAGGAGCTATAGATATTCACAAGCAGATTGGTAAATTACCAAAACCAAAAGGAGGATGGACCTTGCCAGGACATAAATATACAGGTCCTTATAATGATCTTGAGAACCAAGTAAGATATGATTCGGAAACCGGCGAAATATTAGAAATTTATGATCAACCAACTGGGCCAACCGATGCTGTTGCCATGCAGCATGACGTAGATTATAGTGTTTGTGGTGATGACCGAAAGTGTAAAAATAAGGCAGACAGAAAGATGGTAAAATCGTTGGATGCTATTCCTTGGAAAGAAAGACAATGGGGGCATACTTTGGCTAGAACAATAATTAATACTAAACAAAAACTTGGACTTGGTTTAAACGCGAGTCGGCGTTGAGTAGTGATTGGTCTCAACAATTAGCCGACGAACTTCACAAACCAATCACAAGAAACTTTCAAAAAAGATCAGTAATCTCAAACGGTATTGATGAAATCTGGGCTGCTGATTTAGTTGAAATGCAAAAGTTTAGTAAGTGGAACAAAGGATTTAAATATTTGTTAATGGTTATAGATGTGTTTAGCAAGTATGGTTGGATTAGGGGGCTGAAAGATAAGAAAACTGAAACTGTAAGTAAAGCATTCGGGGATGTATTCAAAAGTAAACGTAAACCTCAAATGTTATGGACTGATAAAGGTTCTGAGTTTATCAGTAAACATTTCAAAGATTTTCTTAAAAGTAAAGGAATTAAACTGTATCACACTGAAAACGAGGAAAAATCTAGTGTTGTTGAGAGATGGAATAAAACAATGAAAAACAGAATGTGGAAGATGTTTACTGTGAATAACAACACTATTTACTGGGATAAGATAGAAAAACTAGTTGATGATTACAACAACTCTAGACATTCTAGTGTAAAAATGACTCCTGTTGAAGCTAGTAAAAAGAAGAATAAAAGTAAAGTTTGGTCTAATTTATACGGTGATTTAATCTACTTAAAACCAGGCAAAGCAAAGTTTGCGGTTGGTGATAAAGTTAGAATTTCTAAGTATAAGAGGAAGATATTTGATAAAGGCTACACACCAAACTGGACAGAAGAGATATTTGTTATTGATAAAGTTTTACCTACAAAACCTGTTACATATAACATCGTTGATCTGATGGGAGAAGAGGTTAAGGGATCTTTCTACGAGAAAGAATTACAAAAAGCAAAACAGCAAACATTTAGAATAGAAAAAATTATTAAGAGAGATAATAAGAAGAAAATGGCATTAGTAAAATGGAGTGGATATCCTGATAAATTTAACTCATGGGTTAGTTCTAAGGATTTGGTTGATTTTTAATACGAATAATGTATTAAAAATAAAATCCTATTCACTCATTTGGCTCTTCATCAGACAAGCTTAATTTCTCAAATCTATCAACTAATTCTTCAATGTCATCTTCAATGTCATCTTCATTGTCCTCTTCATTGTCCTCTTCTTCAATTGTTAGTAAAGACTCTCTTGGTTTGAGTGGTTTAACATAGCACTCGTGAACTTTTATTTGTAAAGATGTTACAGTTTTACTTATAAAAATTCCTTCTATTATCAAAGCTAATTTCACATTACAATACTGGTTGATGAGTTTAAAAGGATTTAGATCCTTTCCCCCCTTTCCTTTAAACAAAGATAAAATTTTCTTTGATTTTTCTGAGTAAATAAGTTTTGCATAAAGAACTGGTGCAGATGAGGGATCTTTTCTAGTTTTCTTCTTTCCTTTTTTATCAGTGTACTCTTCTTGTTTGTAGTATAAAGGTGGGGAAAGAGATGAGGCTAAATCTGGTCCGTATTCATTCTCTAAATGTTCTATAGACAAAGATGTTAGACTATTAATAGCACCATAAAACGCTTTTTCTTTTTCATTTGGTTCGCTATCTTTCGCCCAAAGACATACTGGGATACTATATCCTACTAACTTTTTTGTTTCTTGATTTCTCTTTTCACTAACACCAAAGCTAAAAAGAAATGGGGTTTCGATTACAAGTGGTCCTTTTTTGTTGTTTTGGTATTTGATTTCAATTGGTATACGCTTGTATTTAATGTTACTATCTTTTACTTTTGACTCTTTTGCTTCTTTAAAAATAACGGTGTCTTTGGTTAAATGATCGTAACTGGATAACTGCATTTTGTTAATTATAATTTATTTCTTAAACTACAATTAAAAAATCAATTTTTTTTTTGGCCAAAGAAGATGGGTACTCCAGAAATTTGGCGATTCTGGTTTATTATAAGTTAACTCGCCTTGCTTATTTTTTATCTTTGTAGCTCTAGCTAAATATTTGTCTCTTCTCTCTTTATCCTTGTGTATTAAGTAGTCTGGATATTTTGGAGAACCAAAATGTACTTTCTTTGCGCTTGGAAGCGTAGCCATATATTTATTATTTTTTCTGGGAGAATACTCAAGACTTTCTGCACCAAGCTTACGAGCACGTTTCTGTAACTTTTTGAATAAATCACCTGTGACTATATGTTTGGGATCTGGGTCAAAATCCGGGTCATCAGATGTATAACCATCTTCAACGATAAATTCCTTATCTGATTCAGTAGGAGATTCATCAGGGGAGCGGGGAGGAATAGATTCCTTTTTTGATTTTCGAGGCATTATTTATTTATACGTATACTAATCTTATAACAAAAATGTTATAGGATTTAGCTAAAGTATTCTATATCCAACAATGAATAAAAATTATCGGCAAAATCTAACTCAGTTTTAAAATAATCAGGGTCGGATAAACATATTAACCTGGAGATATTTGGAAATAGAAACTCTAAGTATTCAGCTGCATCAGCATGTGTTTCTTTGACTTTGGTTTTATCAAATCTACCAAAGAATTCTTTCATAACAAGAGATCCAGCTTTTATTGCATCAACTAACTGTTTAGCATTAAGATCAATATTTTTGAGGTCTTCATACCCATCTTTACTAGAGAATATAAGACCTTTTATTGTGTATTTACTTGTCATGTTCATTGCGTTACTTTCTGTTTTGAAACCCATACTTAATTAGTAATTTTAACTCTTTAACTCAATTTTATTTTTCTGACGGATTTATTTATCAACCAACCCAAATATACTATGACCAAAAGTCTCAAAACAATGACCATTAAAAATATTAACACGTTCACCTCTTTCATTTATAACATCAAACTTTCTAAAAAATCTACTACCTATTTTATTTAAAGTTTTATCATATATTACATCAGGTGAAATAAATAAAAAATTTCTACTATTTGGAAACAAATCAAAAAGTTCTAAATACCCATTATGTCTTGTCTGTTTTACTTCTACAAGTCTTAGCTTATTAAAAAAATCTTCAACTTGTATATGACCTTTTTCTACGCATTTATCTACTATTTTTATATATTTATCTAACTTACGAAATTTTTTATAACTGTGTTTATCTTCAAATATTAAATTACCTACTTTAAATGGTAACTCATCCTTTTTTCTGAATACTGTTGTAAATTGATTTATTTTTTTCATATTCTCTTTCACTTTAATTGGCATGTTTTTGATAAACAACAAATTCATAAGATTTTATTCTTTTAAAATCAATTTTTTTATTTCTTACGCAACATCATTCCTCTCATAGTAGTTAGTAAAAGATACACCTTCGACGATTTGGCCTTATTTCAAATATTGGGGCACGCATTTCGAAGATAGGCGGGCACCATTTTTTTTGAAGCGAGGGTAAGCGTCAAAATGTATCTTTTACTAACTACTCTCACTTAGGATGTTTTTTTTAGTGTTTGGTGAAGGTAAAGCGACAAAAGAAAATATATCAATTTTTTGGTTCATTTGACCTTTAATGAATGAGGCTGAGTATCTTATGAACAATTATGGAGATCGAAAAGGGTGTACGGCCGAGGCGGATAACACCCTCCGAGATCTCCATAATTCTTCATATGATACGAAAGCCGAATTGAATAATTGTTTTATTATTCATTCAAAATAATTCCTATTTTAAGGTGGCTCGACTGGATTTTTTTAGGGGGATACCTCCCAAGTTTGAGCATTAACTACGTCGGCATGAGTAAAGATATGGGAAAAAAGTTACCACAACTGTATTATATAAAGATGAAAATTTCTTATGATCTGGGTTTTATTGCAATCGCAGTCGCCATGGCAACGTAATGACGCCATTACGTTTTTCATTTATCTTTGTGTTTCTCTGTACTAGGAGTTTTTTTGAAGAAATCGCTTAAGGGAGTATGTACCTGCCATAATTGCCTCCATTATGGCAAAGTTTGAAGAAATTCTATGAGAGCGTTTTCGAAATAGTTTGAAATGCAGTTTTAAGAATCATTAAAGTAGTGAAATAGCATGCTAGCCGCACAATTCGCTAATATTTTAAGAAAATGATAAGCTTTAGGAACGCGGCTTCATCTCACAGTGGTTTGATTCCATTGAAAACTGCATACAAAAAAAGAGGGGAATTGCTCTAAGCGATCGCGAGTAAGAAGGATTTTATTAACTTGCATTCAGCTCCTTTTGATACAGTTTTTGGAGGTGATTTGATCCATGCCTAAAAATTTCGCATTTTACCAAAAACCGCTCGATAAATTTTTTTGTAAATTCGACAATCCCGAGATCAATCGTCAAGAAATATTCCCTGCAAGTTTTAAGAACATTGAAAACAGGGAAGGCTTTTAAATAGGGCCTCAAATATAGCCAATTTCCCCCCCCAGATTTTGTGTTTACAAGCGAGCGTCCTCATTATTCACAGGCATTGTTTTCAAGTTTCATATACACGTGCACATTTAGCAAAAAGATAGAATTTGTTTATCTGTTTTATTATTCATTCAAAATAATTCCTAGTTTAAAAACATAGCTAAAACATGCTTACCTCCATCGATCCATCGATGTTCAGTTCATCTTCGATAATGTATGTTTAGGTTTGTCCAGCTCCGCAAATATTCTCCAAATAAAAGATGTCGCCCTTCGAGTTGTCTTCTTGCTGTTCTTGCCATGTTTTTAGCCATTTTTTCGCCTAGTTCTGAGTGAAATGTCCGCCATTTTTTCAAGTTCACAACCAAAACAACTCAACCTCGTCCCCAAGTCTTCTCGGTTAACGGTGCCTTAACCTGCGAAAACGCTGCATTTTTGACGTCATTTCCTCGTTAAAGTCAAAATTCTTCCAAATTTGGTCATCAGTAACTGGTTATAGTGAATTAAACGTTTGCTTTTAGCCAATCAAAATTGGGGAAATATTTTGAATAAATAATAATCAACAATATTAACTGAGCCTGTGGTAATAATTGTTTTAGTATATTCACACGAATTGATCTCAACAGAATCAGAAAGGAAACCATTACAAAACGATTAGTTTGATTGACGGGTGAATTCATGCGTGAACACGAAGCCGTAAACAGTGGATGCGCGAAAGTTAGATCTTTACAGTATCTTCAAACATAGCAAATGATAGTTTTTAACTTTTTGTATCGAGTTTCGTAAGCTTTAGCATCAGCGGTTTAAAAGAATACGCCGAAAATTTAAATTACTACCCAATTCTGAGAAGAAAAGTAGAGCTTTATTTGTTTCTGTCAACTCACCGTGAATGAGAAAGTTTTCATTGTTGCTTCTTGCAAATGCTGTCAACAGCGGCTACGATCAAGGTGAGCGTTGTTTATCTCCAAAGTTCCTTGCCTTTTTAACGTGCTGGCTTCCCTGCTAGCAGAGGTCTCTCACAACGAGGCAAATATGAGAGAAAGGAGAACAGAGAGAGAGCAGGGAACTTGCTGGCACGTACAATTTTCGAAAATATTTACCTTCCTCTTTTCTCCTTAAATTAACTTCTATTTATAGCTAAAATTGGTCTTGCGAGAAAATCCCGAAATCACAAAACAGTGACAAAGCGACCTCGTTTTCCTCTGTAGTGGTAAACATAGGTTCGAGTGACAAAAAGTCAGCTACAGTAAACCACTTGACAATAAATCACGCTGTGTAAACACCATGAAGTCTTTTCTTGCCTTCAAAGTCATCAGCACTTGGATATTCGTGTATTTTCAAAAAGGCTTTACTATGAAACGTTGGCAAAACACCCAGTTCACAACAGCGATTTTGTTCTGCTTTATATTCACCGCCTAGCGCGGTGAATATAACGTCGTCGTCGTAGTCCGAGGGTGAATATAACGTCATAGTCCGAGATGGCTAACCAATCAGATTGCTTGAATTACCAAGATCACTGAGTGTGTATATACTAAATAGATTTAGCCAGGAATAAAACCGAAACTCTCTTTAATATTTATAGTTTACCGCTCAAACAAAATAAAAATCGTGCAATGCTAAAGAAACAGGGGAAGACAACAAGAACAATAACAATAGGTCTAATTAGCAAAAAACAACTTTGCACGTGCAGCACACTTTTTTAGTACATTCCTTAGCCGTTGTTATCCTCGACTACAACGTGAAACTTCCCGATACTTCCTAGTTTCACGTTTTATGGAGGAAGTATTGTATGTGTTCCTGTTCACTTTTTTTTCACTGCCTCTCATTTTCACCTTTGTGGCCGCTGGCATCTCTCTTTTTCTCACCGCCGCTGTAAAATTTTCACGTTTTTCTTCCGGCGAAATTGGTCGTCGTTGTTTTTCAGTTATCGCCCCAGCTCTTTCTCTGTTATCGTCGTTAAAAGACATTCAAATTCAATCGAAAGAAGACTCTGCTTTGTTGTTGTTGTGTCGGGGTGACCATGCGATTTACCTCCGAAACGCGCGGGGTGCTTGAAATGCAAAATTTCACCCGAGCATAAATGAAGCCGGGGTGGAGGTACGTACGGGCGATTTTGTCAGAATCAAAATTTCTTGGATGCATAGATAACCAGATTTTCTTACCCATGATGCTCCGCTATTAAAGATGAAATTAGGGTGAATGTAAGAACAGGGTATTCAGTGATGTGAATAAGCTGGCTGAAGCCAAGGTTCCACTGCAACTGACAAACTATGTTATTTTCTTGAGACAAAAAGCAAGTCTAACACTCACAGTGTAAAAGACTGGAAAACGTTTGGTGTCAATTCTTTTTATAGGGAAGGCGTGTTTGAGTGATGCGAGTGGAAGGAGGGCCTTTTCCCTTTTAAATTTTAACAAATAATGTATTTCTAAGTGTCCTTACTCTGATAGAGATGATTTTTAATTTCCTGAAAAATGTGTGGAAAACTATTGCCCAAGAGTGCAAAGAGTCTATTTCTCATTCTGCTCCGCTCAATCACATCTTAGCTGAAACTTGCTAATAACTGCAATCTTAATAAATTGTGGCCCTCGCCTTATTTTTTTAACGCCGAAGATTACATTTAAATGAGCAAACATTAACTGCAAGTTAAATCCTCGTGTAGATGTGTTGTGAACTTGATATTACAGACCTGAGAGTGCAAGTAAAGCTTTCAGTATACATGTTGATTTACTAACAGCTGTTCCAAAAACAAAATATTTGATGCTTATCAAGAATCTTTTTAAGTCAATACAGTATGTTGCCTAGTATCCGGACACTTCAGTTTAACATTGCAATAACTTTCCTTTGTTAGTCGCAAGAGCTCTGAAATTTGGCCCAAAGAAAATCTATTTAGCCCTTAATATGACGAAAGACAGTTTAACTTTTTTGCCTTTGTTTCCATGTTGCCCAGTATCCGGACAGCTGGCCCAGTATCCGGACACAACAATAACAACGTAATTGTACATAAATTTCGACAGGCAAGCGACTTATAAGCTTCTCTTGCACTTGCAGAGTGGTCTGGCAATCGATTCTAAAAATATAACCTAGCATCAGGAAATAAAACATAACAAATGACTGGGGTATGGTGGGGAACGAGAGCGGTTGTTAAATGACATAATTCTTACTTCCCTGTCTAGGAACTTTTTCACTGATTTAAGGAAGGCATCCGTGGACATGCCAAAGCCGCAGTTTGCTAGCCCAATTAGCCAATCTGCAAACGACTTTTTTCCTTCATTTTTGTGTCTACTGCGCTTGCGCAGAAGACACTAAGCCATGAACATCATGAAAAGTGTAGAAAAAGTTTGTTAAAATCGATAATCCGTAGGTAGTCAATAAATTATCGCACTTCCAATCTCAACCAATCACAAGTGAAACAGAGCGATTAAATATGTCCGAACATAAATCCCTATAAAGTGAAGTCATGGAACGAGGTAACTCAGTGCAGTCATTGTATGTTGTTCGGGCGTGCGGTGAAGACTTCAGAGCAGTGGGAATATACGGAGCGTGTTCGCTGAGGGTAAGTTTTAGTTTTGTAATTTGTTTTTGTAATTAACTTTTCACGTAAAAAGTTGGAGAAACAATTTAATGTTTTGGAGCGTTATTTACTTCGCAGCAGTTTAATCGGCCAATGAATGAGACATGCATCGTAATTGCTTTCTTCTAGCACCCGATGAAACAACGCTGTCTGTTGTTCACAGTACCTTGAAGATGTTTAGAAATTCACAAAGCGACCCACTTTGGTCAAAAATAGACCCACTTCGGGCACAAATCGACCCACTTTGGTCTCAAACTCGAGGCACACTAGCACGGTTACAAAAGCAGAATACAAATAAAATGTCCTACTCATTAGAGAAAAGCAAAAAAGCAGTAAGCTTACTAAGAGTTGTGAGCTCTCCAGAACAGTATGTTTGTTTCTTTAACTTTAATTTTGGGCTATTTTCATATTTATTGTCTTTTAGTTACCGTTTTTACCTTCCATATTTTCTCGATCTCGCCAATTGTGTAAGTGATCAGGCAGAGTTTTGTAGTCAGGAAGGAATGCGGGCAATTGTAAAAAAATATCTTCATCTTGTCCACAAGAATAAATTGGATTTAAGGGATCTTTTTTCCCATATTCCTTTCCCTAACCTTCTACTTTCGTCTCTATACTTTGGGTTGTTTTCAAATCTACTGTCTTTTAGTTACCGTTTTTACCTTCCATATGTTCTCGATCTTTCTAAATGTGTAAAAGTAACAGAGTTTTGCAGTCAGAAAGGAATGCGAGCAATTGCAGTTTTGCGCAACAGCAATACAAAATATGTCAACTTGATTTGCCACAAATTACTTTGCACATTTCGCAGGAATAAATTGGCTTCAAGAAAACTTTTTTTATATATTCCTGTCCTCAATCTTCAATTTTCTTTAAACTTTACAGAAAGTGTTAAATACAAGTATCGTATGAAATTTGTCGATGTTCTCGAGAATCTGTGTGACAAAAGTCAACATATGGTGAGCATGCACTTGACAAAAGACGATGGAGGTCGTGATGTATATGTTACATACTTGCATCAAGTAGATATACATGAGAATAATTGGAGGAAAACAGTAAGACAAAGAGAAAGAGGTTACAAAGCGTATAAAAGTAGGAGCCGTGAACCATCTAGGATAAATTTGAAAAAGATTTTAAAGTCAATGAAGAAACGAGTGCTTCGAAGAACTCGAAAATTAACACTCAGGAATTTGTCTCCCCCTTCATCTAGACTAAGAAGCATAGCAGCTAACTATAAAACTTACTATGTGATGCATAAATATAGAAAAGATTGTTTCTTCAGCAAGTTTTATTGTAAGCGTCGTAATATTAAGGTAGTCTGCTTGAGTACCTCAGCGAAAAACAAAGAAATCAAAAACAGTTCATTTGATAAGATTAGCTCCTCAGGACGAAAGATTTTAAAGAGATATCCAATTATTTCTTACTCAAATTCCTTTTTTTTTCAAAGAGAGAGTAAATTACATGTCTCATTAAGGTCATCACTACTTCAAGATATATTTCGTGTAGCAAGAAGGAAACTGTTAATTTCCGGTGATATTGAACTGAATCCAGGACCCACACAATTGGCATTTGCTGTATTAACACAAAGATTAAGAACGATCGGCTTAAGGCCACTAGATGTTGGTGGTGATGGAGATTGTTTTTTTAAAGCTGTTTCACATCAGTTGTGTGGCACTCCAGATTGTCATTTTGCAATTCGAGATGCTGGTATTCAGTACCTTAGGGAACACCCAGAAGAATTTATTGAGAGCAATGTTGCAAATTCATGGTTAGGCTATTTAAATACTATGTCCATGCAAGGAACATGGTGTGATGGTCTCATAGTGCAGGCTGTAGCAAATGCACTAGGTATAACACTGCATATCATAGAATCTCATCAAAATTTTACAGAGAGGACAATAATTGAACCTGCCGTGACCTTACAAGGAGAGCATAGGACTATTTACTTAGGTCACATAAATGAGGTTCATTATGTCTCTACAGTTCCGGATGTTCCAGAATTATTTAGAACACAAATAACCAACAGTTGCAGCACTAGCATACATGAATCAAAGAGTTCTTCCGCCATTGAGTATCACAAAAATGATTATTTCAGGACATATATGAGAAAAAGAAGGGCCAATGAAAACGATGAGTGTAGAGAAACACGGCTATCCAAACAACGTAAATACAAACAGCAACGGCGAAGTGTACAAAAAAAATCCACAGCCGAGGAACTTGCACAATCCAAAAACACACAAAAAAGAAACGCCAATAAAAATAGTGACTGTGGAGAAAAAAAGCTATCCAAACAATGTAAATACACAAAGCAACGGCAAACTGAACAAAGAAAAACTACAGCAGAAGGACTCCCACAACCCAAAAACACACAACGGTTTATTGCTGCACAAAACAAACATACATCAGGTGCACTTCCACAATCTAAAAATTTACAGCAACCAGTATTTGCAGAAAAGAATGATACAGAAGAAAGACTTCATGAAAATAAACAGTATGAAAGGTCTATTGATAATCTAATTTCCAATTTTCATACTATTGTCTCCAAAGGTCCACTTTACATCTGTACTTGTTGTGATCAATTATGGTACAAACATAGTGTTTCCCTTGCGGACAATTTTAGATTAAGTAATCCAAATGTTTCCGAATGTCTGTTGAATAAAACAAGTGTGGACAACAAAGAGTGGTTATGTAACACATGCAAAATGCATTTTAAAAAAAATAAAGTTCCACCATTTGCTGCTGTTAATGGGATGCAATTTCAAACTAAACCGCCATTTTTGGACTTAAATGAGTTAGAATGGAGATTACTTGCCCCACGATTAGCATTTGTAAAACTAATGCAAGCTCCAAGAGGAAATCAATTGAAAATAAATGGAAATATTGTTAATGTACCAGCAGATGTCAGTAGCACAGTCAACCTACTACCTAGGTTAGAAAATGAAACTGGAACAATTAAAGTACAGTTGAAAAGAAAATTGCAATATAAGAGTTTTGCATTATCGTTGAATGTAAGACCGCATAAAGTGGTGCAAGCAGCCGATTGGCTTATCACTAATAGTGATCTTTACAAAGAAGAGGGAATAATTGTTAACTGTGACTGGCAATCAAATTTTGTTGAGAATATTTCGAGAACTCAAGATAAGCCTCACAACAAGTCTTTAGAAAATAGTGACAATGTGATCACATGCAATTCTGAAAATAAAACTGCAGATAATCAGTTATTATGTATAAATGAGAATAATTGGAGTGAGGATGAAGATGAAATACCAGCAGGAGTTACAGACACCATGTTAACAGCTACTGACTTTCTAGACGAAAACGAACGCGCGAATATTCTTAATGTTGCACCAGCTGAAGGCTCTACTCCTCTTAGTATTTTTAGAGACAAATTTTCTGAGGAATTAGCATACCCTGGTATATTTTTAGGTCAAAAACGAACTGAAAATGACAAACGACTAGTACCAGTTCATTATAGTGATATATGTAAATCTGAATTGCGACGTTCCGATCGAAGAGCAGCAATGTGCGTCGAAAATATTTTTTTTAAAGCCAAAAAGTTACAAATGAAAATTCTCTTAGGTAAATCGCAGATTGCAATGCGAAAATGCAAAGGTCTCAACAGTTCTCTTACTGCTGGGCATTTAAAAAAGCAAGGAGCTTTAGAAAAATTAGTTCATCTTGATGAAGGGTTTAAATTTTTAAGAGCATTACGAGGTTCCCCGCCTTATTTTGAAACTGCTAAAAAAGATCTCTTTGCAATGATAAGACAGCTAGGCCCAGCAACTCTATTTTGTAGTTTTTCTTCTGCAGAGACACAGTGGATACACCTATTAAAAATTCTTGGTAAATTGGTGGATGGTAAAGAATATTCTGATAATGAACTTGTGAACTTAAATTGGGAACAGAAATGTAGATTAATCCAAAGCGATCCAGTAACATGTGCAAGACATTTTGATTACCAATTCAATCAGTTTTTAAGCACTTTTCTCATGAGTAATGTTTCACCGTTAGGATCAATTTCTGATTGGTTTTATAGAGTTGAATATCAGCAAAGAGGTTCACCTCATATCCACATGTTGCTATGGATAAAAAATGCACCAATATTTGGAATCGACGATGATAATGAAGTCATCTCGTTCATTGATAGCATTATTACCTGCCAAAAGCCATCTGGCAATTTAAACCTAATCACCTTAGTGAACAGGCAAATTCATCGACATTCACATTCGTGTAGGAAAAGAAAGAAAAATGAATGTAGATTCAACTATCCACAGCCTCCTATGGAAACAACTCAGATCTTGCATCCTCTTGATAAGGACATTGAACCACACTTGCTTAAAAATTATAAAGAAATGTGGACACGTATTAAGAAAGAATTAAATGACCTAAAAGAAGGTCAAAGTATTACTTTTAATGAGCTTCTGTCTCAACTAAATGTAACGGAAGAAGATTATCTACTAGCATTGCGTTCATCACTTAATTCTCCAACTGTATTCCTAAAAAGGAAGCCAAATGAGTTAAGAATTAACAACTACAATGCACCGTGTCTCAGCGCGTGGAGAGCTAACATGGATATACAATTTATCCTTGATGTTTATGCTTGTGCAGTGTACATTGTATCCTATATATCAAAAGCACAGAAAGGTATGAGTGAATTACTTCGAAAGGCGTGTGATGAGGCTAAGAATGGAAATGCTAGCATAAAACAGCAAGTAAGAGATATAGGCAATAAATTTCTGAACAGTGTAGAAATATCAGCCCAAGAAGCAGTTTATTTAGTGCTTCAAATTCCAATGAAAAAATCATCACGACAAGTAATATTTATACCTACTGCGCCTCCCGATGAAAGAGTTGACCTATTGAAGTCTATGAATGAAATTGAAATGATGGAAGATGATTGTGAAGACATACACACCGGAGGTCTTCTCAAAAGATATACTGAAAGGCCTCATAACCTTACTCACGTGACTTTGGCAGATTGGGCAGCATGGTATGATTCATATGGAAAACCTTATAGGAAGAAAAGACGAAAATTTGATGCTGATAGTCTACTACAGGAACACTGTATTGATGAAAAAAATAGTGATGATAACTCTGAGAATAATAATGAAGACGCTGATAAAAGTAAGAAACGGTCAAAAGCAAGGATTATAAGAAGTGTTTGGTTTAACAAAGAGACTAACCCCGAAAAACATTACCGTGAATTAATTATGCTTTTTTCTCCATGGAGAAATGAAAAGACAGACCTCATACGGAATTGCTCTACATTTGAAGAACGCTTCTGCCTTTTAAAAGACGAAATCTCAAAACAGATGACCCAGTATGCATTTTTCAGTCAACAACTAGATGAAATTCAAAAACATTTGAAAGATATAAACGACAATTCCTTTGATACAATTGCACCAAACACACAACATACAGAACTCCAAGATCAAACTGAAGGTCTAAATGACTTGCATCCTGACTTCAATGAAACGTATGATTTATCAGAAGACATTGGCATTACTCCACATACAGCTAATGATGATGTTCTTATATTAAACGAACTACCTGATCAAGAATACCGACAAATGGTCCAAAAGTTAAACAAACAGCAGAAGGAGTTCTTTTATCATATTTTACATCTCATTAAAACGTCTGACAAGCCATTTTACAGCTTTCTAAGTGGAGGAGCTGGCGTTGGTAAATCTTGGCTCGTTAAAGCGCTATATCAAGCAGCTCTAAAATATTATAACCATAATGCAGGAGAAGATTTCCACGACATAAAAGTGTTATTGCTAGCACCAACAGGGAAGGCAAGTTACAACATAAAAGGAAACACTATACATAGTGCTTTGGCGATACCAGCAAATCAATCACTAAAAAATTACAAGCCCCTCGATTCTAGTAGACTTAATACCCTTAGGTGTAAACTCGGAAAACTTAAACTAATATTTGTGGATGAAATTTCTATGGTTGGTAACTGCATGTTCAATATTCAGATAAACTGCAGATTAAAAGATATAAAGGGCAGTAAAGATGATTTTGGAGGAGTTAGTATCATTGCAATAGGGGATTTATTTCAGCTAAAGCCAGTAATGGATGGTTATATTTTTAACGATATTGAAGATTTGCAATATGGGGTACTTCTACCAAACTTATGGAAAGAGCATTTTAAAATGTTTGAGCTTCATGAAATCATGAGGCAAAGAGAAAGTAAAGCATTTGCAGAAATTTTGAACAGACTTCGAGAAGGAAATCACACAAACGATGATCTCTTAATAGTAAAAGATAGACTTATTACACCAAATAGCTCAACATACCCCTCAGATGCACCTCACTTATTTATACAGAACAAAAAAGTTAATGAGTTCAACGAAAAAGTCCACAATGCGTCTTTAAACAAAAAGTTTAATGTCAAAGCACAGGACAGTGTAGTTGGAGCAAATTCTTTAGAACTAAGGAGGAAAATAATGAACCAAATACCTAACGATCCAAGAAAAACTAAACAGCTACGATCAAATCTTAAACTGAGTGAAGGTGAAAGAGTAGAAACAGCCATAAATGTACGGACAGAAGATGGCATTACAAATGGTGCAGCTGGAGTGGTTAAATTTATTCAGCTACATCAAATACAAAAACCATCTGGAATAATTTGGGTATTATTTGACCACGGCAATGTAGGGCAAAGAACAAGACACGAAAATAGGCATCTATATACGCAATCAATTCAACACACTTGGACTCCAATAAAACCTGTGACTGTGCAGTTTGCTGTTGGCAAAACCAAAAGTGCTCGGGTTGTTCGAAAGCAATTTCCTTTACGGCCAGCAGCTGCTAAAACTGTACATCGATCTCAAGGGGATACTGAAACAAGAATAGTTGTAAATTTGGAAACAAAAAGAAAAATACCTCATGTACATTATGTTGCGTTAAGTCGAGTAACAACTATTGAAGGATTGTACATTACGGACCTATGTGAGAGCAAAATTCACGTTCATTCGGATGTTAAAACTGAAATGGTCAGATTACGAACAAAGGCCTCCCTTAACCTTTGTATTCCTCGCCTTTATGAACTTAGTTCATGTTTTTTCAAATTATGTTTTCTAAATGCAAGATCACTTCATAAACATATTGACGATTTACGCAACGAACACAATTTCAACAGTGCTGATTTAATTATCTGCTCAGAGTCTAGGTTCAGTCCACTTGATGATGATAACATGTACATCATACAAGGATATCATTTGTTTCGAAATGATAACCAGGTTTTTAACACAAGACCCTATGGTGGTACTGCAATTTATAGTCGACACTCTTTTGCACCTGGCTTCCCCTACAATTCCAATACAAATGGCATTGAGATAACAGTTCTAAAAGTATCTACCCTGCCAAATGTAACAATAACAGCAATCTACCGTTCACCAAAAATTTCTCTCACACTTTTATGCCGGTCGCTTATTCAAGTATTGGACAAAATTTCCTTCCAATACAATATTATCATTGGAGATTTCAATGTTAACTGGATGAATGAAATTGAAAGAAGACCTCTCTATAACCTTCTTGTGACAGAAAGAAATTATAAACAACTGATTTCACATTATACAACTGATAACAGAACAACAATTGACCACATATACACAAATTTCCTACCACATTCACATGCTGATACCACTTCAGGAACATTAGAAACATATTTCACTGATCGTAAAGCCATCTGGTTAGCCTTCCCATATAATATTTGTTAATGAAAACCATTCCTTAAACACACGCCAACAAGAGCCAATTATTTACTGTAAAAATAATAATTCTTGTTTCCCTTACAATTATTTGGCTAAAACTTTCACCTACAACAAAAACTAACTGAAAAAAATCTTTCAGAAATCGCATGTTGTAACTTGCCCAAATTATTCCATGTGTTATTTCCAAGTGGTGGTATAATAAGATCTCACATCTTTTTATTGAAGCATTTTTTTTAAACCCTTCCCTTCCTTTTTTTTCATCAGCTGAGAAGAATGGCTGAGAGTTCAAAGCGAAAAGGTAAGCGGCCAAGTAAAGTATTTATCACTTTGCAAATTCACGAAGCGTTTCGTTAAATAAGATACATATAAAAATACCTAATATATAGAAACATTAGTCTTAGATATTTACTATTGGTCAATATCATCACAACTTACCTAAATTACATTCAATACAACTCAATACATTTTCATGCACCGAAGGTCTTCTTTTACTAAACAATTCAAAATCTGCTACTTTTTTATTACTGCAACTAACGTAATATATTAAACTATTTTAATTTGATAACAATTATACGATTTATTTGCAAAAAGACTGATAAAGAAAAATTCCGTAAATTTTGCTGTTTACAGATCAATAATAACCAACAGCTCCATGCTGCATAATGCTACTTCCACTCTCATTACATTATCTTTATATCCTCTTCTCCACTTCTAATATGTGTTTCTCACATTATTATTTCTCTATTGCAGATAGTGACGTTGGTTACGTTCACTCATTATCGCCCATTAAAAAAGCAAGGTCTGGAAAATTGTACTACAATTTTGACCTTCAAACATCACCAACAAAATTCACAAGAGTGGTTGGATTTGACAAGAATTCACATGCTCAAGCACTGCATTTCCAAGTTACAAAAAGTCCAGCTAAAATTGTCAATATTAATGAAAAAGAAGATACCATCTTTGTCAACCAAACAAGCTCAATTGTCCAAGCTAGCAGCAGTGATGTCAACTTTCTGTGCACAGCTCCATCGACAAAGCAAGGGGAAGCCAAGGAAACAATCTCCAGTGCGACAGATATAACACTGAATGAAATCCAAACTCTGACAAGAAATCAAAAGGTCAATGTACAAGGCCACCTAACACTTGGTCAAAATCCAAGCAAAGAAGTCATTAAACGCAATGGCGAAAAGGGATACGTAAAAGAAGACTGTGTGATTGAAGATCGCACTGGTTCTGCCACTATACACATCTGGGATAACTTGCTAACCCAACTAGAGAGTGGAAACACTTACAGCTTCCAAAATCTTAGCGTGAAGAATTATTCAGGAATGACATTACTGGGTACCACACCAACAACAACATTCCAAAAAGCAGACCTCCAACTAACTGAAGTGAAAGGCCCACAGCTTCTTTCAAATACTGAGAAGGAAATTGTTATTCAAGAATTTAAATTTGTTGACAAAGTAAATGTCTTCATGACATGCCAGATAAAGTCTTGCAAGAAAAAGATGCCGCATGCAGTGGGTTCGACTGTTCTCAAATGCACTTCATGTGGAACAAGTCAAAAAGTTAAAGCCGCACAAAACGGAATGTCTGCACGCCTTTGCGCCGAAATAGACGGAAAAGATTGCTGGCTTACTGCTCTCACAGATGTCATGGAAGGCTTATTGTCCAAAATAAGCCTTACCCGAGATTCCAACACGGATCAAATAGCAGAAAGATTACTTCAAA